GGGACAATTGCGTACAGTGCCACAGACAATTCAATTAACATCTGACCAATAACATTTTATGGGGGCTACATGGTCTGGGCTCTGTAATGGCAGGGGCATTATGAGGTTTCAAGACTACTTATTGGACGGGGATAAGCAGATAAGCTCTCACAGAGTTTCTTTAAGACTTCTTGTTGGGACATGATTACCATGATTAATAGTTTAAAATGTAGGAAATTTAATTAAATTCAATACACCTTAAGATATAAGGTTTCAAAAATGTTTTTAAAAAATCGGAAATAGGTATACTTTTCTTTATTTATAGCTATTAAAAATATATAAAAAAGTATCTATAAATCCATCTCAAATTCGTATAAAACCTAAAACTTTGGATGCAACAATCCGAAAAGCGCTAATAACATTCCAGCCTAACTCCCTCCTCAGAAGGAATTCCAGCCTAACTCCCTCATCACAGCTCATACGAAAATGCGAAATTCGCAAATGCCTGCAGCTTGGATACTTGAGTTTAACTGAGTGCAATCCTGGCATTCCACACATGCTAATGAGAGCCAGCAACTCACCAAATATCCCAGCCATGTTATGATGCACAAATTGCGGTTGCTCTGGAGATGCCTCATTTTTGGAGGGAATGGGAGATGGAAATGGAAACGGGGGTACTTGAGGGATCGGAGAAGAGCTGCTTGCAGGGAAGGACACCGACGGGTGGCTGCATCTCTTGATGGGCCATGCGCAAAATTCCGTTTGTTTTGCACTCACGCACAGGCAGCCGAGGCACCACAACAGCAACAGCAAACAGCCACTCAACTTATCGAGCGCATCTCGCATACACACACCCCACACCGCACACTCACATTCTCGCACACACATTGAATGAATAACCACATGCATTTTGGCCGCATGCAAACCGTTAATGAGCCACAAAAGTGCACACATCTGGAGTGGGATTGATAAGACCAGTGGGTGAGTATGTACGGGGCTGAGGATGTGGGTGACAACTGGTGGGTGGCAGCTGGTGGGCGGCTGTCCCATGGATGGATGATTCAAAGTCGTCACCAAGCAACGCCGAACGTCTTCTCGCAACAAATGGGTGGCTTCATTCACCATTCATTCTCCCACACAGGACATTACATATTGGCCTGCGCACATACAGTTTACACGGAGAAAAAAGAAGTAAACTAGTAACCAAATGAAATAGAAAATAATAAAAATTCTATAGAGTAACTGATAAGGACATATTGGAAAAAAAGAAGTAAACAAGTAAACAAATAAAATATTCTGGCAAGTTTCAAAACAAATTTCTTGAGGATTCCGCCGTTTTACTCAATTGGAAATACTTGTAATTGAATAGTTAGTTACCAATGAATTTTTTTCGTGTAGCACTTACTTGTGTGCGTCTGTAAGCTTGCGCTTGACGTGTGCGTTTATTGATTAATAAACTTTTTTTGTGTGCAAAAACACCACAAAAAAGGCGAAAAATAATAATTGAAGGCAACCGACGGTGGAGGAGGGTGCAACCAGTCAAGAGGGGGCTAACCTTTATTGATTGGAGAGCCTGAGCGGGTGACGCTCCAAAGGACGATGATGACGGTGATGTCGATGGTGATGTCCTGGCAGCAAATTAGCAAGTTAGGGGTGGAGAAAGGGACAAGAAGGAGGTGGAGGAGGGCCAGGACAACTCTATTAGCAAAGTCAAACACGGGGGCGGAGTGGATAACATAATCAATGTAAACACAAGCTGGAAGAGAGCGGCAGGGAGAGCCATTAGCCGGCTGAGAGAGAGCTTGCTCTCCTAGGAGACACACAAAGAGCGGCAGAGAGAGAGCTTTTCGGTTGGCCAAGCCAAAGGGTTAGGTGAAACAAAAACGGCCAGCCGTAAATGAAATGAGCCTCGAAATAAGTTAAGTTAAGCAACTGCAATCGGGGGAAGTCTGGCTCTCTCTCCCGTGCCCACTGCCGCTGCCGCTCACAGGATCCTGCGACTGCGACCCAGCGACAGGAAACGGAAGTTGAGCACGGCAGCAGCCGTGTAAATGGCGATGGATGCTGTATGCGCTAGTGGTGGTGGTGGCAGTGCCTCTTTTTGGGACAGTGCGACACAACAGAGCCGACAGGAGCAGCATGAACAGCAGCAGCACCCGTGGCAGCAACAGCCTCCCACTCACTGCCGCCGTGTATATATAAATCAATAAAAACAGCAGCCCGAGACGGGTTCTCGCCTCAGCTCTTGCACTGTTTCCATCCAGTGTTGGTTGCCTTCTGTACTTTGTTTTCTTTTTTTCTTTTTTTTTTTGTGCCGTTCTTCTTTCTACGTCCAGCCGGGCCGAGAGTTGAAGCAGGAGCAGGAGGAGCTCCTGGTGTACACAATCATTACACGGACCCGCGCGCGTCACACGCTGCGTATGTGCAATGTGGCCTGGCACTCGAGTCGCGACTCGCGCGAGCTTGGAGCGCCCGAATGTATGCATCGGAATATGGCGATTTAATTGAGTTTCTGCTGCGAGAAGGAGGATTTTCAATAATTGGGGCAGCATTGCAAGTGCGTGGGAGTATTTCACAAATATGCGAAGATAAAAGAATACATTTTGAGGCAGTGTGTGACATTTTAAGATAATAGGAGGGGTTGAAGGCTTTTTATATTAGTTAAGTGCTTTACACTATAAAACAAATGCTTTTTGTAAGCTGTTTAGCTGTATATTTCTTGAGGAATCAAGTTATCAACATAACTTTTCATAAGTTAAGGTTATTTAAAAATTTATTTTGAAATAATATTTTATTGTTTTTGTTATAAATTACATTTGTACTATAAAGATGAGAAACTTGGAACCTATAGAATTTTTAGATAATAATATAGAGCTATCCCTTTCATAATAGTTCATAATATTAATAATAACTTCATAATAACTTTAGAACTATGTTAAACAGAAAACCAAATAAATATTTTAAGCTACAACTATAATAATATTAAGAAAGTAAAAATTAAACAAAACAAGTCTAAAGTAAAACATTTTTAGTTACCTTTAAACCGGGAAAATGTTTCTTTTTTGTTGATGTATTTGCGATAAAGGTTGCTCCACTTCTAATGACTTTTACTGCTTAAAATGTTTCAGTTTTATTTTACGCCTCCGAAAATTCAATTTCCACTAATTTGATTCGATTAAAAACCTCGCCTCTGATTTTCAAAAACTCTCACCACGGTTTTTCCCGTTTCAACACACCACGAAATACCGTTGAATTTGAAATTCTGGCCGCAGTTCACAATGGCCAAGAGCGAGAGCGTCACTTCCCCCACAGACCACGGACACTTTTCCACCTTTCTCTTCGACAGAAGCGCGGAAAATCGAAGAGCAAACGACAGAGGCAGACGGCAAGCGAAAGGCCAAAACGATCGGAGCACGGCGGCGTCACTCGGACGGAGGCCAGAGCTCGAAGCGAGTGGCGTTACGTATACGCAGCAGTGTGCGGCGCGCGTTAAAGTCCAACGTAGACTGAAATGCGATACGCGGGCGCGCTGCCTTTTATACCCTTGCACGCCGAAGGCCCCGAAGCCGAAGAAGCAGAAAAGCTGGCAAAAGACAAGCACCAGAGAAAGGAGCAGACGTGAAGCAGCGAAACCAAAAAAAAAAGGAAAAACGAGCGAACAGAACCGAGCTGCTGCTGCTGCCGCTGCTGCACTGGGAACTTTGTGACCCGATTCGATGGGCAACCTGCCCACATGCGCGAGCGAGCTTTCCGCCGCCAGCCGAGGGCGGAATATCCGCTGCACTCTCTCGCTCTCTCCGCCTCTCGCGGGAAAATGCCATTCGAAACTATTCACTTTGCTTACGAATTAGAGCACAAAACAGAAACCAAACCAAAACAGAGCGGCGAGCCGAAAGGAATCTAGAACGTGGCGTTACTTCTACCAGGGAGGAATGGGAGAAGACGAGGACTTCCCGGAGAGATGTGCGAGAGAGCGCAGGGAGTGCGCAGCGAATTTTCCGCCAAAGTCCCGTTTGGGGGTTTCCCACGTTCGGTGTGTGCATGAGGTATGTATAGGCTCGATTTATCGATGTCCGGGCCACGGATTTCCAGCTCCACCAATATACAATGCGAAAAGCGTAGCACGCTTTCCGGCATAGAACTCCACACCACCCAGTGTGCACCGGGGGAAGGTTCTCCGCTCCATTTGCTTCCCGTGAACCTGTGGCATTTTGGCCAGGCCCAACCTCAGATGATGACCGATAAGCCGGATGGATAGACTGATAACCAGGCAGGTGAAAAGCTCTCACGGGCTGCCGTCACTCCAAAAAGTTGCCGAAGTTTTTGGATGGGTTTTCTGAACTCGAAATACGTTGTCATAACTCTTTCTAAAACTTAACTTAAAAGTAATTGATTTTTGGGTTATGATATCGCAAGAAAGATCAGTTATAAAGTTTATATTAGGCATAAACTATAACCTTTTTTTCTTCTATTAATGGCCTTTAGATAAAATAATTATTAAACCTTTTCTTAAGCTGACAGAGAAAACTTAAGCTAAAAGTATGAATTGAGATATTCCAAGAAACTCGAAGATATACGCTTTTACCATCATCAGCCTTTACAACTTTTATCACCTCAGGCAGAAGAACTTACACTATGTCCTTAAAAAACACAGCAGAATTCTCGAAATACCTTAGCTGTCGCCCAATCAATGATATGGGAGTCCCCTTCCGGCTACGCGCCTGGGTTACATGAGCCTTGTACCGCCACCGCTCGGCCACCCACTGCGCAGTCTCCAGGCAGGCTCTCTCGCAGTCCGCGCGTGCACGTGCTTCGCTGCGGTTTTCGCATGCCAGCCCAAAGAGGAAGGCCCTCAAAATATTTGGTGGGCGCAAAAAAGTCGGAAAAACGTAAACAAAGTGTGTGCGCACGCAACGAAGGAACAGAGTGGGGTAGGATGAGCTTGCCGCGTCCTGGCCGGGGGTGGTGCTGTTTCTGCGCCGTGCTGCTATTGATTACGTAGACGACAAACAGGGTGTTGCTCGAGCTCAAGTCTTTACTACATACTAAAATTTAAAATTAGTCAACAGACAAAAGGGACACTTTGGACGAGGGACGACGAACGATCGATCACAGAGGAGGGACTCACTAGCCGAACCAGTGGGCCCCCATGCAGTCGCGTGTCCACTCCGTCTGGCAGACCCAACACCACTCGAATCCACAGCCAGCGCGTGTACAGACCATGTGCATGCAGCCGCCTGGAAGAAGAAGGGGCAGAGGCAGGAGGGTACAGTTACGAGCCGCTTCTTGGGCTTTCCCCGCCCACAAAAACTTACCATCTCGCTCCGTGGGCGTTCGACATTTCGGACAGGGCTTGGTACTGACTTTGATGGTGACATTGGTGGCCTCCTCCCATCGCGCCTCGGCAGCTCGCTGAGAGAAGCGTGTGATTACACAAGCGGGCAATGATGTTGCGCAGACTTACATTCGGGTCCACGGTGTACTCGCAGGAGTTCTGGGCACTGGCCCCCGTCCCCTCGGGCAGGCACTCCCCGATGTGGTAGCCCTGCAGGCAGTTGCGGCAGAAGACATAGCCGCAGCCGTTCTGGCAGGTCACCTTGCGGCAGTCCGGCTCCACCAGCAGGCCCATGCCACAGCCAGGCTGCGGGCAGAGCACTCCGCCCGCCTGCAGGACATACTCCTCGGTGGCGAAGCGCTGATAACGCTCATACTCCTCCCTAGTGAGCAGTTTGAAGTGATGGATCTCCTCGATGAACGAGTGCTCGCAACCAGCGGGACAGGGCAAGGTGTAGCCAAAGTCCGGATGCGGCATGAACTGGCGCTCGCCCAGCCGGGAGCGGCAATAATGGCGGAAGCACTCGATGCAGGTGACGTGCTGCGAGGCGCAGGGAAAGACAAGGACTACGTCACTGTGAAAGGAGATGAGGATAAGCAATTATACTATATTAATTTGGAGGATGAGTATTAGTTTTTTTATGCAATCACCTTACATCCGTGCAGGCCAGACAAGGCACATCTTTGATATTGTTCTTGATGAGGTTCAGCGGAGCAGCAAAGTCCTTCTCGCCGCCGGAAACATGCTCCGCACACTTGAAGAAGAACTCGGCAAAGGGCGGATCCCCGGCCTCGTTGTCCACACAGGCCACCTCCAGGCTCTCGCAATGGCCGGGAATGCGACGCGACTTGAGCACATCGTCCCAGCACTCGGGGTCGCGGTGGACAGTGAAGGCGCCGCCTTTGCAGAGGGAGCAGCGCACCCGCAGCTTGCCGTTGCACAGCTTGTCGCACTGGCCGCAGTGCACGAAGAAGTGGGCCTTGGCGCGGACGCGTTCTGGCGGAGATTTGGGCGTTAGAAGCAAGTTCTTAGGCGAAACAACCTGTTGCGCATACCCTCCTCGGTGATGTTCAGCCTCTCCTCGCTCTCGAGCTGCAGATCCAGCAGGGTTTCGTTCAGCGGCTTCGAGGGCTCCTCCGACAGCGACGGCTCCTCCTCCTCCAGCGTGGCCGACTGAATCTTCTCGCGCCGCCCCGGCGGGCGCAACTGAATGGCGTGCAAAACGCTCTGTTGGCCCAAATCGCACTGCTACTGAAAGACCACGAATTTTAGCATGTTACGTGGGCTGGCTGTGCCGACGGCGACTCTTTTTACCTCTATGGTCGTGGCATCGCTGAGCTCCTTGCCCGCAAATATGATCTTCACCTCGTCCGGCTGCAGACCGAGCTGGGGGGCCACCAGTTCCTTCACGTTCTTGATGTCCCACTGGGGCTCCAGGTTGACCGACAGCGTCTTGCCCGTGTTCGTCTTCACGTAAATGCTCAGCGTGTGCGTCAGCGTCTTGCCACCGAATTGCAGAAGCTCCAGCATTTTGCGTACAAAAGTGGCAATAAACTTAAAAATAAAACTCATTTGGCCAAAAGTCGGTGTTAGTGTGCCCGCCGTCGTCGAAATCTCTTATCACTTACGCGACGACAACAAAAACAGTGTTGGTAACTACGCTTTTTCTTATCAAAGCTTTCTATAATGGCGCGAGAATTTGTTTTCTATTATCGATTTTTCGATGTTTTTACGGACTATCGATTGTACTCTGTTGTTTTGCCAGCACTATCAAACGCGCACAATTGGAAAAAGTTTTGATTCTTGCGTGAAAACAATCATTTTGCGTGAAAACTGGTAAAATGTCTGGTTTTGTTTATAGAGAGCAGAACGGCGACTTGTTTGGCGCAAAGAGCGACTTTTCCTTGTGCCACTGCGTAGCAGCCGACTTACGCATGGGCAAAGGAATTGCAGTGAAGTTTCGGTAAGGCGAAACAGTTCTGTTGAGCTTTTAGATAAACAACCCTCCTCTTAGCAACAAATTTGGCCAGGTGCTGACCTTGCAGAGGCAAAACGTCCAGCCCGGAGGAGTGGCCATTCTCCAGGACCAGCAGCGCTTTGTGTACTACCTGGTGACCAAGCAGACCAGCTGGGGCAAGCCGACCTACGAGCTCCTGCATAGCTCCTTGCACGCTATGCGCCAGCATATGGTGAGTGGAATGCCTTAAAGTCCACTAAGATATAATTTACATATATAAATTGATCCCAGATCTCCCACAATGTCCGCAAGATAGCCATGCCCCGCATAGGATGCGGCCTGGACGGACTCAACTGGGCCAAGGTCAAGGAAATGATCTGTCAGATCTTCCAGTCGGATGCAGTGGAACTAGTAGTATTTAATTATGCAGAAGTTCGAAAGTAAGATGACACAAATGAACCTATTCAATGAGTTATTGCCCCTGTGGCGGCACAAAGTTGTACACCACAATCTCCAGGTCCTCCTGGCCAAAGACGTACTCCAGCAATTTGCTGACCCTGTCCCACTCCAGGCCATCGATGCCGCAGCCGATCTTTGGAATGGCCAGCTTATCCACCTCATTTTCGCGCTGTAATAGAGATTAAATCATAAATTAGAGTAAGTCTAAACAGTATTTGGATTATAGTCTTAAGAATATAGAATTAAATTGTAAAACAAAACCCAAGATATATTTACCATATGGTCGCGCATCTGCTCCAAAGATGCCTGTAGAGATTCGTAGGTGGGCTTGCCCCAGCTCTGAGGCTTGGTCACCAGATAGTAGATGTACCGGTCTTCATCCTTGAGTACCGCCACTTCTCCACTGGCCGCATTCTGGGCCCTTAGCTCATCCACCTTGCCATAGATCTTCTTGAACTGCACAGCGATTCCTGCTCCCATGGCGAGATCAGCGCCCACGCAATGTGCCAACGAATGGGTCTTGGGTGCCGAGAAAAGATCCCCGTCCACCTCGCTGATCTTGTAGCTAGCCATGCCGAGCACAAAACCCTTTCGAAAAGCCTCGCGTAGTTCTAGAAGTTTGGAAGAGTACATATTGGTTTTAGAGTTACTTGTTTAAGATAGTGACGGCTTTGGGAAAGCTTAAAAGATAACGAATCCCTCTTAAATATTTCAAAATATATCTAAAATAAAACGTAAGTCAGGTCTTTGGTTAATCCCTCTCTAAAGGGTGTATTTCGTTTATTAATGTACATTCAGTATAAATACCCAAAAAACATGCATTTTCCGTGCCATGGAAGCTCTTAGGTGTAATGTGTTCTTAACAGCTATATAAGTATTTGGTGCATTCGGTGCCACAAGTCCCAAGAAAACCATTTCGAGCGCAGCATTCACCTGCTGCTCTATGCAGCTAGCCATCGCCCCATTCAGAATGGGGTCTTTTCGCGATGAAGCGAGTTCCTCGAACCGCTGACGGATCTCGGGGGTAAATGGATGGTCTTCATGTGCCGACAGGTGGGACACACCACATTCAGCGTGTCCTTGGACATTTGTGGGGGAGTGTAAAAGAAGGCGATGATATCGACGCTGTCCTCGGCAAACACAAGGTCCAGCAGACTGCGCACGCGCAACCAGTCCAGGCGATCGATGCCGCATCCTAGACGGGGAATGGCCAGCTTGGTCACGCCGTGCTCCCTCTGAAATAAGGAAGGTATTCGGTAAGTAGTTATAAATATAGCTTAGATTTCATTGTTTACCATGTGCTCGCGCATGGCCAGCAGCGCGTAGTAGAGTGCCGTGTAGGTGCACTTCTCGTGGCTGCGCTCCTTGGTCACCAGGTTGTATATGTACCGCCCGCCCTGCTCCAGGACTGCCACATTCCCGGTGTGCCGATTCTGGCGCTTGAGATCGTCCACATGTCCGAATTTGCAGCGGAACTGCAGGTTAATACCTGCACACATGGCGAAGTCCGCACTGACGGAGTGAACCAGGGCGTAGTTCTCTGGCGCACTGAAGAGATTGCCCCTGGCCTCCGTAATCTGGCATTTGGGCGCAGCCAGCTGTGGATAAGGTGGCTCGAATTAATTGGTTTGTTCAAGTATTTCGGGTGACTCACCTCCTTGGAAAGATCATCGTGTTCGCAGATGAGGATCTCAATCGGATACTCGCTCTGGGAGAAGGTCTGCTGCACCAGGCGCTTCACTTGCCTCCACTCGAGACCGTCTCTGCCGCAGCAGATCCGGGGCATGGCCACTTTGGTGATCTCGTGGTTGCGCTGGAAATACGAAACAGTAGTCATCGATCAACAGAACCTTTGAAGAAGTGAGGCATAAGAAAAAAAATTTTGGGAAAATATATAAAGTACCTTTGAACATTTAGTGTTTTATGAAAATTGGACCATAAAGCATATCTATTTACTTAAATACCTTTACTTTATTTGGGTATAAATCATATTTCCCATTAATAACAAAATAACTGCAACTCTTTAAAAGCGAATTTTACTTTTGGTCATGAAAAACTGAGTTTACTTTCTCCTATGCAAATGAATGGCCACCAAAATATGTCGGACAAAGCATTTTTGTAAAAGGAAATTGCAAAACAAACTTGGATTCCATCGAGAAATCTACTGTTGCCATTATCTACTGCAAGTCTGTGTTAAAATAAATTATATGTGTCACCCCTTCCACTGATGACGAATGCAACATTTTTTAATTAAAGTGCTTAACAATTTGATCACAAGAAGGGGCGAATCTTCCACAAATATTTACTGTATCTCGAAGTACAAATAAATTAACTGTAAATTGACGAAGCCAGAGACGAGGCACAAACCAGTTTTCAGAGCGTCGACGTGCGGTTGCTCTTTTGGAAGGGAAATGTCACTTGTCGCTTGTCGCTTTTTCGGGGGGAAACACACCCCACTCCCACTGCCACTCTGGAGATGTTACTTACCATGTGTTCGCGCATACAGATCAGCGCCGCCTGGACATCATCGTAGGTGCTGGCCTCGTAGAGATTCGATTTGGTGACCAGATAGTAAATGAAGCGCGAGTTGTGCTCCAGCACGGCGCAGTTGCCCCGGCTGACCCTTCTCTGTCGCAGCTCATCCACATCGCCGTAGATGAGGCCGAACTGCCAGGCCAGAGTACCCCGGAGCGCCATGAAGGATGACTCCACGGCATGGGCCAGGGCGTGGGTTTGGGGCGCCTGGAATATGTCCAGCTTGGACTCCACAATCTTGACGTTCGCCGCAGCCATGGCTCACCGTGTCTGGCTTGCTGGCTCGCTGGCTGGCTGCAATTAAGCGGAAATTATTCTCAATGCCAAAAATGATTTTTCGTACTTACGTGCACGCAGCGGAAACTTTCACGTCGAGGTCGAAACTCGCGATAAAAACTTTTTCGGCTTTGGAATCGGAGTCGGAACGGAATGGTTTTGACTTTGGTTTGAGTTTTGGACTGCACAGAAACCAGAATGAAAACAAAGCAATTAGCAGGGGGACCGGGGGATTCCGCACAGTTAGCGGCTAGTTGGAAGCTTGTTTATTTTGGCGATTCGCCGTTTTCCCACTCCCAATTCTGTCAGTTCTCTCGGCGATTATTGATGGAGATGACGGAGAACGACTGCCTCGGCCGGCGGTCTGCAGCGGAATGCGCATGGGGACGCGGAGCGAAAGCCCAGCGAGAATCTTCGAGCCCCAATGACAACATTTCGCCCAGAGGCGTCGCCACAGGGAGCACCGAAATAAAGCAATGATCGTGCAGAGAAAGAAATGTATATTTTAATATTTGTTATATGAAAACTGATAAAGTATTAAAGTTAAAAGTTATTTTAAAGTGGATTTGAAAACAAACGGTATTTAAAAAAGGGCAAACACATATTTTAAGCCTGGAAATGGCAGTGAAGTTGTTTTTTCTAAGCTTTACCATAAATCTTGAATGCTTTTGGGAACAATGTGGTTTTTTAATGTTTTTAATTTAAAAAGAAATCTTTAAAATATAGATTCAAATTGTTTAAAAGTTGTTCACTTCAAGTAATCATATTAAAATGAATTTAAAATATCAACATTTCAGTATTTCTCTCTCTGTATTAGCCACCACCATGCATGACGATCCACTGAGTCAGCCGTCAGCCCGTAATGATGATGATGATGGCGGTGATGATGACATACATGTGCTAGTAAGTGTTAGCTGATATCGCTTTGTTTGTTTGTTTTCTGCCTTCAGCGACAAGTCGACTGGCATAGCCCAAAATCGTCGCCAAAGGCTGCCTGTAACTGCCAATTAAGAACTTGCGCAGGCTTTTGATAGCGCTCTATAGATTAATTACGATCGAATTGGTTCGGAGCACCTGTAACCGTGTACCCGTGTACCCGTGCGTGGGCCGCTGTCAAAGGTAATCGGCGGCTGCCCATGTGCTAATAGGGGCAGTCAACCGACTAGCGACATTATTTGTTTGCATGTATAAATATAAATATGACTTAAATTATTCGTTAATTGAAAGTCAGGTTAAATAACCAAACACCGTACAAATAACCATATTGAGTGAGTAGTTGTTTTCTAAAACAAACAAAACAGGCAACAGCAACGCCACAGCTTCGATTTTGTATAAGATTAGCCAAATTTGTTTGATCATAATTGGAATATGCATCGTTATTTTATTAACTGCAAAAAATAAATTCTAACAACAATTGATCAAATTTTAATTCTTTAGCTCTCCATAAATAAACAAAAACATTCCAAACAAAAAATCATGATTTTTCATTTCATGACATACATAAATATGTAAATATTTATATTATTGCGCAATATTGCTAAAGTATCCGAGTTAGCTTATATAAATATATAAACTGTTTCTAAAAGGACTTGAATTCTAATAAATTTAAATTTGCGATATTTTTTGCAAATTTTTATTCGGATTAAAAAAATAGCATTCCATTCTTATTAATGCTTAAATCCGTAAAAAACAATAGATTTGTTATTAAAGTTAAACGGATATATGTAATTTCTTATATAAACAAATAACGGTCTTCAATTCAAGCTCAAATTACATTGCGCCAAAATGCGTGGGTGTGCGTCTCGGCTAAAGGGACACTTTGTAACACTGTAAGTGAGCGTTACACAGTACTGTCGCAAGTTTTTGCAGCTTTTTCGCCAATAAAAACAATACAAAAAACAATAACAATTGTTTATGCTGTTTAAATAAAAATATTTCTTATAAATGCACACATTTTTATCACTTTTTTAATAGCCGTAGAATGATGGGGAAAACCCCCTCTCTTCACGTCTCCCAATACGCATGTCAGGCGGCAGCTTTGAATCGAATTTATATATTTAAATGTTCGCTTTTCCCCAGATTGGGGCACCTTGTGTGGAAAAGCTAGGCGATGCTGGTTCATGGCAGTTCAGATTGTCGCTCCGAACGATAAAGACGGCCGATCCGACGAGCTATAATACTACATAGCTGTGACTCGGCTCTGATTGGGATTTGGCGTGCCAATTGGCGTTGTTTGTTGTTGTTGCTGTTACTGCTGTTTGTTGGTGTATTATTGCTGTTACGTAAATTGCGTGCTGTTTGTTAGTTAAATTAAATACTTTACGTGGTAGTGCGGTTAGTCGACGTCCCGCCAATAACATTAGGTTCCTGAATCTAGGCTCCCGATTTGAAAAACGAAAACCGTAGATTCTTGTGACAGTGAAAACCGAAGCAAGCCTGTAGGTTCCTGTATTGTATCTGTATCTTTTTGGGCAATTAGTCCGCGCGCGAGTAAATCTCCCAAAGACAAGCGGAAGAGTGGAGAGTGAGCGATGTGAGTCACTTGAGAATTAGAGAATAACTAAAAAGTGCAGGCGAAAAAGCAAAGCTCACAACGCGACGACGTCAGCTGTTGCCACTAGTCAGTCTTGCTCTCTCTCCCTCGCTTCTCTCTGCTGCTTCTCTTCTGTTCTGTTTTGGTTACCTTTTTTGTGAGTTCGCCTTTTGCCTTATTCGTCGGCATGACTGGGTTGACATTGCTCCGGCGATCGGCGGTCAGCCATGCCCACTGGTACGCCCCCGCCCTCGCAGCCAACTGGCAGCGGCCTGTTAGAACGCTTCAAAGGCGCCAACAACAACAACAGGCCATGCACACCTGTGGGCGGCCCGGTGCAATTTTCGCAGCAGCAACAGCATCAACAACAACAACTATAAAGGCGGCGCAGGCGCCAAATGTGGCAAGCGGTGAGTTCAAAACTTTAATTATGCAAATTGCGCGTGCAATTGTTGATTTATTACGCGGCAGCAGATAGATTGGATGCTTAGATTTCGTGATTCAAGCTCGTAACGGATTTCGAACTCGATTTCGAACTGGGGGTTTTCGAGTTAGAAAAGGAAACCAAAGTTGTCAATAAATCTAATAAAAGAATCGAATTGAGAATTATTAGTTGATAAATTTATGTTAAAATATTTGTATATTGCATAAATCTCAGCTTATTAGAATTTCTCTATTATTATTATTATACTTAAATATTACTACAATACTTTTATTATACTTAAAAGAAATGTAAATTATAAAAACCACCAAAAAGCGGTTTTTCAGTCTTTGTTTAGGTTTTTTATTTAAAATAAGTAGAATGATAATGTTATCAAACCGCATTTAAATAACATAATTTAATGCCAATTTTTTAAATGATATAATATAAGCCTGATGTCGATTTATATTGCTATTTTTTATTATTATTAATAAGCCAGATCACACACAAATCATTTAGAAGACAGGTTTAGCAGCTTGTTTATACAGCCTGTTTCACTTTCATCACTTAAAATCTCCAGGGAACCTTGTTACCTATTGTAGCTCAACTTTTGGGAGGATAGCTAGCGAGTCACAGAACTCTGACTTGGGAATTTTAAGTGCACTGAGAGGGTTTGTTTTTATTTTATTTTTTTATGTGTCCACTTTATCGACTTATTTTAATAACAAAAGCTTTCTATATTTTGTTCTTTACCTTGAACCTTCAAAATGGCAATAAATAAACTAAGAAAATTATAACAAGCTGTAACCTAAATACTCAGCAAAAGTAACAAGGCTAATATTTTTCACAGATCACACTTAAATTTTAAAAGATTATCTATTGCACTAGCTGATCTCCTCCTCTTTTTTAACCCTCACACAGCCGGTTTTTTGCAAAATATTCTTATAATGACTCCCACACGCTGTGCTTACGAATTTTTTATAGACATTTATAATTAAAACAAATGCTGTTTTTTGACAACCAGCACAGTCTGACTAACAAGTGGCGATTGTGTTTATAAGAAAAAGGGGTCTGACTCTTAATTAACGATAAAAACAATAAAAGGAATCGAAAATAAACTGGGACATGAAGGCGACAGTGGGTCTGCCAGGGAATCATTACTAATCGCATTTTGATTGCCTCGTTGAAAGCGCATCAAACACTTGTTCTTCCCTTTGTGGCAAAAATATAGATCCATTAAAAACACAAAAACAGAAACTGGTTTAATTCCACTTGCCGTTTAATCAACTTAACACCCGCTGACCGAGTGCGGATCGATCATTTTTCTGCCATTACTCAAAACGGTGTTAATGAGCACAGCGAATCGGCCATAAAACTTGTTTACCTAAGCCCAGCAGTTGTAGATGATTACTTAATGCACTCGTCTACTCCAGATTGATTAGAGCCAGACCCCCGAGCTCTACCTAAATATATTTTTTGGACTGCCGATTAGATAAGGGGGCAGACGATGGAGGAAGTGTTCAAAAAGCTGGAGAAATACTTAATAATTAGCAACTGGACCGCAGTATTTTATAAATAGACCATATTTCACCATTGAATAAAAGGCAGAGTCGTGTTTTAGCGAAATGAGAGTGAGTCAGGCTTTAAGTTAGGTGAGGAAATAGACTTGGAAACATTCTATAACTATGTTTTAAAAGGAGGTTTGTTATTTATTTTCACCCTTTAGACTTAGTTTTAAAATATATGACCTATTTTTTACAACAAAAACTAATTCTTAAAGAAGGTATACGGAAACTTTAAATCCTATCTTGTGGATTTTTCAGTCTTACTTACAACAATTTTGATAAAACTTTGTAATATCAATTTCTATTCGGACAGACTGTTCCATAACTTTATTAAATATTTCAATTCTAATATTCTGGTCAAAAAACCCATATTAATATAATTCCCATCCTATTTATTAGATCATTATCCATGAAATTGTTTTGCATGCGACTTTTTTTTTCGCCAATTTCAATTTTTTCGAGTGGTCTGACTGAGTGTCGATAAGATAAGGCTCGAAAAGCCATCAACTTAATTGGGCGTTAGTTAGGGGCTTATGTGTGTGCACATGTACCACTCTGTCACACTCGCTTTCATTGTGTAAGGTCAACACGATTATGCCGATTTGGCCCTCCAAATACGCCCCACTTTCCCCCCACCGCCTTGGATGTAAATGAACCCCAATTGGGATGGCCTAGACCGTTAGTTTTCGCTTCCCATTCATTCGGGCGCATTAATTTCAATGTACAGAAATAGGTTCCACAAGTTCAAGGTCATTACTAGGCAGGCAGGCGCACACAGATACTCACACGCGGCCCACACACGCACCGCAAATAACTTGAAATACTCGCGCTCAAATAATAAATAAGCAGCGAATGAATAAATAAACAGTGTATATAGACTTGCGAGCCCCCTATAATAGAAAACAGAGAGGCCAATGGAAAATATATATGTATGTATGAACGCGTTACACGCGCTAGAACATTGAGAGATTGCGGATCCATATCTGCCCAACTTATATACTAAATCAGGTAGAGAACCGAGCAACCCAATGGAAACCTGACCAAACATAATGCTGATAAGCATATTCACATCAAGAATTTCGGGTTTGCCAAAAAAATAAAAACAGAAAACAAAGGCAGAGTATATGCTTAAAAATCAGAGGTGTATTCTAAGATTAAAGGGGGTTTTAAGTTATATACACACTTTTCTTTTGTCTTTATTTTATTATAATTTTTAAATTATTATATTTACGATAACTTTACATTTTGAGGTTGAAAGGGTTTATTGAACTGTGAACAATGTTTTAGATTACTTTATTAAATTTAAGCTTTACATAAGCTTTTAAATCTTATTTAAAATTTCTAGCGTTTTAATATTATTTTAGTAAGTTAACTCAGTTTGAGATACATATGTTAAATGAATTTTTCTAAAAGGAAATGTATTAAAAACTAAAAAACGTTAGGCCATAAAATTTTAAGTACAGTTTGTAAACATTACGAATTCTAACCTTATTATTTAAATAATTAAAACAGCTGAGAATATAATTACTACAAGAATTTTAATAACCCATTGTTCAGGGTGTTGTAACCCCTGAAAACCCCCTTTCGTATCCGCATCTGTGCCATAGAGAGCCCCTTGGGTTGTTGTTTCCAACCGCCTAGGGTTTTGGCCCCTTCTTGGTATGGGTGAGAGATTGCCAGAACAATTAGACGTCCGCTTCTGTCGCCTCAGTCCACTTATTTATTTGGTGCTCGCCTCCAGTCGCTCATACGCCGCGTATCCGAACACACACGTTCCGCTCTTCGACGGAAGAACCGCCCGAATACCCCGAGTCCAAAAAGTAAAGCAACCCTCTTCGTTTTTTTAGACCCCTCGATCCGCGCCATGTCTTGCGCTGCTCCCAAACTGGTGGCCGTCGCCGAGTCGCGTCGCTTCATGATCGACTGCTTCAAGGCCGTGAAGGTGCCCCAAGCCCATGCCGAGGCCCAGGCAGATCTCCTGGTGGCCGCCGATCACCGCGGTCACTTCAGCCACGGCATGAACCGCCTGGAAATGTACATCAACGATTTGGCCATCAACTCCACGGATGGCGGAGCCATTCCCAAGATCCTGAAGGAGACCCCGGCCACCGCCTGGGTGGATGGCCTCAATGGCTTGGGCGCCGTCGTGGGAAACTACTGCATGGATCTGGCTATCAAAAAGGCCAAGACCGTGGGCGTGGGCTGGGTGTGCGCCAAGGGATCGAATCACTATGGCATGGCCGGCTGGTATGCCATCCGCGCCATGGAGCAGGGTCTGGTGGGCATGTCCATGACGAACACCTCTCCGTTGATGGCGCCCACCAGGGCAAAGGAAGCTGCTCTAGGCACCAACCCCCTTTCTCTGGGAGCCAACGCCACCAATGGCGACAAATTCCTCCTGGACATGGCCACCACTGCTGTGGCCGTGGGCAAGATCGAGATCCAGCGTCGCAAGGGAGCCCCGCTGCCCGATGGCTGGGCCCAGGATCCCGCAGGCAATGTGACCAATGACGCCGAGCTGGGCTTTGCCACCGGATGCCTGATGCCGCTGGGAGGATCCGAGTTAACCTCAGGCTACAAGGGCTACGGCCTGGGCGCCATGGTCGACATCCTGTCCGGCGTGATGTCCGGCGCCAACTACTCCACGCAGGTGCGCAAGTGGACACATGCTGGCGCCGACTCGGCTGCCGATCTTGGCCAGGTCTTCATTGCCGTGGATCCCAATTGCTTTGCTCCCAACTTCGAGGAGCGGATGACTGACTTCAATTCCCGTTTGAGGGGCACCACGCCGGTAGGGATATATCCCTATTTTCAAAGTTATATTGTTATCTTATGTTGTTTTCTTCGACAGACCGATCCCAGCAAGCCCGTCCTTTTGGCGGGGGACAAGGAGGGCCAGGGAATGGCTGCCGTCGATGCCGCCGGCGGAATCCAGTATCTGGAGAACCAGCTCAAGACCTGCGCCAACCTGGCCGAGAAACTCAAGATCCAGCCCCTGACCTTCGTCTAGGCTGGGGACTCAAGGAAGCTAAGGATTTGAAAGAGGGGAGCCTAGCTCGCCCGTTGCCATATGCTGGAGACGCTTCTGCATTTCGCCGGACCAAAGCACTACGTTACTTTACACTGCAAGAAATATTGATATTCGCAACAGCTTGATTCTGTTACATATCCCCTCCTGTGGGACCCTAAATTTACCATTAACGATAGCAATAATTCGTAGAGTAAAGACTTGCAGTTTGCACTTTTACAATAGATATGGGATATCGAAATTTCTTGTACGAATAGATTATGAATAACTGAACTATATATTATACACTACCTGCCTGTTTTTGGCACTTGATATAGCCGTTTATGTGTTCAACAAATACGTAATTATTAAATTTACAATGATATATTATGTGAATTAAAATTCGTTGGGGAAAAAAATACTCAAGCGTTTTTAAAATCGATGTTTTTGGAATATTACCTTTTTGAAGGAGAACTATTCTCTTGTTGTGATGCTAATTAAATCATTTATATAGTTAATTATTACTTTTTAAATTAGCTTTAATGGAACGAGAGTCATAGAACTGATGTTAATTTATGTGGGTGGTTCAACGAGTTTAGTTTCAGTAATCCATAATCACGCCCTTCAAAATACGCTCGGCCTCATGCTTGTTTTCCCTATGTAGCATGGGCGACTTATAGACCTTCTTGGACTTGAACTCCAGGCACTTGGACTGGAAGACAAATGGTGGCATGGGTTGGTTTTCGCAGGTCAACACATGCATGGCCGACCGCAGCTCCTCGGGATCCTTTGTGACGCTCATGGACTTGATGAAGTCCACCAAGCGCTGGTTGTCCTCGGTGAGGCGACGCTTCTCCTCGAGCATCAGCAGATTCTGGGCCTCGGCCATCGCTTGGCGTCTCCAAAAGTGCTTCATGTTCTTGTTGAGCTCTACCAGCTGCTCCTCGGTCATGTCCACGTGATCCTGTAGGTTAAGGGTCTGCAGCTTGAACTGCTCATCCTCCTGCACTTCGGTTTCGTCGAAGACCTCGCCGCCCAGGATCACCTTCTCCGCCTCGGTCTGCAGCTTCCGGCAAGTGATCGACAGGGCCAGGAGTAGCTCCCCGCTCTTTACATGCTTCTCCATTTGCTGCGATTTTGGTGAGATTTCGGTGAGGAGAGTTGGACACTTGGGGCATCCGAAGATTATTCGCTTACCTTGGTCAATTCGTAGCACTCGCCGGTGAGTATGCGCAGCTTCTCGTGTGTGATATTCCGATCCATCTCCTGGTTGAGCTCGATCTTCTTGCGCACGTTGGTAAAGTACTGGAACTCCAGGCGGAGGTCGTTCAGCGTGGAGTTGTTCTCCGTTTCTATGCGCACCATCTCGCGATGGAGTTCCGCCTGCATGTTAATGTACTTTGCCTCCTCGGCGTTCAGCTTGCGCGACTCCTCCATGAAGGCCTCTTGGCGCTCGGTAAGCCAGCTGATTTTCTCGTACTTATGGGCATCCAGCTCGGTGCTACGCAGCGACTCCACGAAGTCGTTGAGCTGCTGCTGCATCTCTAGCATCCTGCTGGCTACCTGGTCTCGGATGCGGAACCTGTTCTCGATCTCTGTGTTGACGCGATCGTCGCGCTGCTCTAAGTAGATGCTGTAGTCCTCCTTGAGCTGGTCGCGCGTGATGATATTGCTGGCATGGATTATGTTGTCCGTGTTCAGATGCATGGCCTCCACTTCCTCGGTGCGGCGTCGCACCTCGTCGTAGTAGTCGCGCAGCATCTCGTCCGCCTGCTGGGCGTACATCGTCCTTAGCCCGCCGAGCATCACGTGAAAGCAGTCGCTGATGTGGTCAGCCAGCTCTATCGTCTTGCTGAAGCAGAGAATGTGCTGGTCCTGCGTCTGGGTCATATCCTCCAGCAGCATCTTAATGTGGTCCGACTTGGCGGCGATCTGGCGCTCCGAGCGTTCGCCCCAAGAGATCATTTCCTCCCTCAGCTCCTTTATCTTGATCTCGCGGCACAGCTCGTGCCACTCATCGTTGCCGCGCTGTTCCATGCGCTTGCCTATCTCCAGTTCTCGCATCAGTGCATCCTGGAAGGATGTTTAATACAAATTCCAGTTTAACTAGCGTTTAGTGGTTTATTATCCCCTTACAGGGTATTATTAGGAGTGAAAATAACTTAAAGCAAGCTTATGCTTGGTGCCAAATGTACATACTTACCCTCATGATAAGGCGCTTCTCCGCGATAACGGCCAATCGCTTGGCCTCCTTTTTGTTGGCCTTCTTCTGGGCTTTGGTCAACTTGGGTGGCCCTTCGGGCTCCTTTTCCAGTTCATCGAGATAGTCAAACGTAAGTCGTTGTATGTTGTCCAAAACTTCCGCCATTTTGGCTTCGTGTATATGACAATTAAGTTTAATAAGGAAATATATAGGATTTTATAATCGAAATATTGTTTTATCCAGATGAATTTGTGGCTTGGTTATAGTGGTCTTGAAAGCTAAAGCAAAGTTAGGGAGAGTTCTTTAAAATATAATTACTGCTAAGCTGTGCAATTTATTTAAAGTTTTATCTCTCAATAGAACAGGATTCTAGCCAACTCAAGTTCTTTTAATTATACCTTCTTATTAAGGTAAATTTGTTGCTAAAATTTAAACTTCAGTGCGACCGTATTTTAGTTTTTCTACAAAAGCTTGGGGAAAGCTCTCCCGCCAAGGTAACTTTGAGCTCTCTCTGAATTTCGGCGCAGCATCTAAAGCTACGCCTGGCTGTGATTTCACTCAGTTGACTCTCAAAGCTTGGCTCGCGCGGTTGTTTATCGCTCGGACGGCAGGAGCAGGACTCCCCAAAGGAAGCAAAGGGCAAATCCAACCACTTGGCCACTGAAGGCACGCCACATCGTGTGCGCTGTGTTTTATTTTTTTTTCCCGGCTTGTAAACAAAAATAACTCTGCTGCCAACGAGAGGGTGGTTCAACCCCCAAAACCGCCCCAACGAAGCCAACTACAAAGCTTCGGACAAGGGCACTCCCGGCTGTCCTGGCTGGCAACTTTTTCGGGGTTGCAGACGACGACGACGGTTGGCAAACAAGCTGCGAATGCGACTTTAAATGTCCATAAACATTCAGCGCAAATAAAATAAAACCGAGCACCTCTCTTACTCGTATCTCGTATCTCGTTCTGCAAGTTTATAGTGTATCTCGTGCAACGAAAATGAGCGAATCCGGCGGCTATCAGAAGCTGCCGCCCGGCTGGGACTGCAAATATGATCAAGCGACGGGCAATTGGTGAGTCTCCACTGAATGCAACCCGATGTCATAAATATTTATGCTTGCATTAAGCGCTTTATATCGCGAATAAAAAGAGTGATTGGGGAACCTGACCCGGACTTGACTGTACCCACAAGATGGAGCGGTACGGCAAAGGGCGAAGCGGAGGGGGGAAACCTGATAGGTTGCCCCGGGAGGCGGCTGATAAATTTGCGTGCCTTGCCCTGGATGGGTACCTCCCGCGGTGGGTGGGTGGACTCCAGTGTTGGTTGGGCGGTGATTTGCGGTGGGTGGTGGGAGCTCAAGCTCCCCGTCACTCGGCGACTTTAAAATGCCAAGTGGGCGGCGACGGGAGTCCAATACAGTGAGGGTTTACGACGTTTGCTTTTACGGTAGGGAAATTATTCAAGGGTTTTTGGCGGAGTTCATCTATGAATACTTTCCCTACAAATAATGTGGGTTTAATGATGTGTACTCTGCTGGTTTTATTGGAAAGCTGGATTTGATTTAAAATGAAAAATGTTATCAATATGTTGAAGTATTTATAAGTTCACTTAAAGTATTTATAAGTAATTAAAGTTGATAAATTAGGTTTTTTGTGATTGCTTGGTAAATTAAATACAAATACTAAAATATGGAGGATTATTTTACAAAGAAATAGCTACAAAATCTGGTTCATTGATATGTTTTCTGATGTAATTTAGAATAGGGATTAATGTCGTAATTTGTATTTAATTGTTCCAATCCAGTTAAACTATATAACTTATACATTTAAGAACCCATTAAAATGAATAGTTAACTAAATAAAATCATAGTAAGATGACCAAAAGTTGTACCATATTAGATTTATTAAATTAATTGCTTATAAATCAATTATATGAAACGGCACAAATTAATGTGGTATCCAAAACCAATCGAAAACACATTTCATCAGTAAACAAATAAATAAAAGGTGCTGATAAGCTTTAACCTTTGAACTCTGAAGCACCCAAGTGTCACCCCCGCCTCTTTAAATGGAGCTCTCCTAGTAGGAGCTCCTTATCCACTCCAATTGGCCTCATTTTCAGATGCATAAATTGTGTCACTTCCGCGTCGTTGGATGCCAGCGGGTTCTTTAACTCCTAGAGAAATCTCTCTCTTATAAAATTCCCATTCCCCCAGCGGGCTTGTGCAATTAAGCAGCCAGCCCAAAGACTCTGTCATACGTTAATTCAAGGGGCCACTCAGCCGGAGACGAGTTTGTTCTCCGTCGACTCCCACTCCGAAATCAGAGCTGAGATTGCCTGCCAAACGATGGAAATGATGACGACTGCTCGCCCGCCTTTTGGCAGCTACTTGGCACGTGCCTCGCTTTAGAGCTCCTTCACTTCCTTTACCCTTTACCTGTCCGCTTCCCCCAGAGGAGGCATCAACATGTGGCCAGCATCCGGGTCCGAGTCGAAAACCGTTTCCGTATCCGCAGCCGCGTCCGAAAACCACCACCAGCCAGCCGGCCGGCTGTAAAAACCCACCCTTCGTCGGGCAGCTCCAGCCGGAGCTTTCGAATGGCCCTGAGCGGGCATTGGGCTCTGAAAGGGAGGTCATTAGATGGCCTTTGATTCGCGCCAAGCTCATTATGTCCCACTCTCGATTCCCCTTCCAGCTATTACATAAACTACCTGACCAAGGCCATGCAGCTGGAGGATCCGCGCGGACGCAGTTACAGGCAGCTACAGAACGAGCGCTGCTCCACGGAGTCGATAGCCTTGCAGGTAAGGTCCCTCGCTCGCAGTCCTTGCACTTATCGATTATCCTGTGCACTCGCACTGTGGCACTTTGGCTCCTTGCAGCAGATGGTCAGTCAGACGCAGACCTCGCACAACAGCTCGCCGTACCACGTCCATCCGAGCAACAACTTGACGGCAATTCGGGCCTTTCAGGAGCGACAGCAGCCCACGCTGCACAACATCTCGACCAGTCCGCTGCTCTCGGCCTCCTCCAGGGGACACTTGGTAAGTGGGCCAACAACTATTATTCTTTTCGGGCAGAAAATTAACAAGAAATGTTTGTGAATTGCTCCAAATATGGCATGGCATTAAATTGGAGGGGCTTAGAAATTTCTTTAAACTGTTATGACAAAGGCATTTTGAGTTTATGAAAGATAAAAGACTTAAAAGGGTGTCGGTAATACATTCCACAGATTATAAATCGATACAGATTAAACAAGGCCATAGAAACCTATTCAGCAAAGAACTTTAATGAGCTTTACATTTTATACGGAAAATGTTGAGGGATCTTTAAATCACCAATGAGAATAAATGCTTTTCCATGCACAAATAATTGCCAATTTAGTTAAGTTAACAAAAAATTAATAATAATAATTTATTTATTAATGATTGACAATAAAATATTAATATTCTCTTTCCAACCTCACAGGAAATGTCCTCACCCTTGCCCTTTCAACGGGCTCGCTTGGGTCCAAATCTCTCGAGGCGCTCTACGATCCAGGAGACCTCGTTCACCAACCAGGCGGAAACGGATGCGGTGGTGACCAAGATCCAGAACATGTTCCCCACGGCGGGTGAGCACCACATCCGACTGCTGTTGAAGCGGTAAATAATTGTTTGAGCAATCCCCTCGAGCTATCGTGCTAATCCCGCCAATCTTACTTACGTCTCTGTCTTCTCACACGCTGCCTTTTATGCCTAATGCCTAATGCCGCTTACTGCACCCACGATTAACCCACGATCAAACCTAATCCCACGCTTACTAACCCACGAACCCACAGCTACTATAACAGCGAGGCCGTTGTCATCAGCGCCCTGCAGGTGGAGAAGCACCCGGTGACCATGCCCGGTCCCTTCGTGACGCCGCCCTCGCAGCGGCACCTGTTCCACAGCAGGTCCGCCTTCTACATGACACCACCGGCGCGTCGTCCGGACACGGTGGCTAGTCGCTGCACCTCGCGCACGGCCAGCCCCCTGCCCGGCGGACGCTTCGGTAGTCTCGTGAGCGTGCAGAGCGGTCCTGGCGGCACCGGCGGTCACCAGGTGCACCAGGTTCTGCCCCCGGGGTCAGCTGTGCCGCCGGCTCTGCACGGATCGCCGCAGTGGCGTAGCTCGCCCAGGCCGCACTCGTCGCCCAAGATGAAATTGAGGTTCGCTGGGGGTTACAGATTTTTGGCGTACAGATTAAGGGTGTCCGTTAAAGAGAGAGATGGATGTTAAAGAAAAAAATACTGGCTACGAAAGATATTTTAAAATAATAATAGTTTATTTGCAATAAAGTAGTTTAAATTTTTAAAATTGGGAGATAAAGAAACTAAGAACTCCCTTGCCTGCAAAAATGTCCGCTCAAGAGAAAGGAAGCTCTCCTGGAGATTAACTAAATATCTGCCTTAATATGTACATATTTTTTTTACAATATGGTAATATTTCCGTATTAACACTTTAATTCAATTATGGGAATGGTATTTTTGAAAACTATCAATGTTGTAAGCTACTTTGTCGAAGCTACTTTCACTTCTCTTAAGCTAAACTTCAGTACTAATTATTAAATATTAATCATAGGATATACCCTAAATAACACACCTTTTATCCCCCCTCAGATACATGAAGAACATCTTTCCCAAGGCGGATGAAGAGCTGCTCCTGGATATCCTGGCTAACGCGGACAACAACGTGCAGTTTGCCTCGGAGAAGTTGATTTCCCTGGGCTACACAAAACGCGAGATGCAGCAGCCACACAGACCCAACAATCGGCCGCCTGAGTTGGCCCCTGATCAGCAGACGGGCGGTGACCAGGGTACGAAGCATATCCCACTGCGACCCAAGGAATACACCGAGGAGGAGAAGACCAAAAGTGAGTGGATCCACGGATCGAATAGCGCCTCTAATTTCCTTTATTCTCAGTGCAAACGTTGCTCAAGGAAAAGTACCCACAGATTGCCGAGCGCATTATCTTGATGGCTTTGGAGTCGGTGAACTACGCCGAGGATCGGGCTACACAGATCCTGCAGATCGTGCAGGACGAGGATGAGCAGAGGGTTCAGAAGCAGGCTCCACCGAATCCCAAGCACCTGGAGCTGACTAGGACTACGGCAGACGAACAGGTGGACGGTCTGAGGGCCGACGACAGGTAGCTCATGTCCCGAAATCCCACTTCGATCATGGCCAAGGTCGTTGCCACCCGCTTTCTGCCCCACCAACACCCTTTCTCTCTTCGCCCCGCCGCTTTATCCGTTTGTTAATCGACTGCCTATTTTCTCTGTGAACTTTTGTTGCCGCCTAATGACTAAACCGAATCCCCGAAACCAAACGAACCACACACCACTGTCCGCTTGCTTTGCGCCATGCCACGCCACGCCATCCGATCTCATCCAGCCTGCTCACCGTGGTGGTGGAGACCAAGCCTGCCTCCTCATCCGCATCTAAATCGAAGCCACCTCACAAGCGCCACATACTGCCATCCATCAATGTCACCACACCGTCGACGGCCACCACCCAGATCATTCTGGGCCCGGTCACGCCGATGGCCACTCCCACAGTGGAGGAGCAGGAGGAGCCGCCGCATGTATCATCCATCTCGAGCGCATCCTCATCGCATTCATACGCCTCACCCGCACAGTCACCCTGCACGGGCATCCTGCAGCAGGGCTACGAGCGCCTGACCACCAAGGGCATCCTGGCCAGAGGCACCACTGGCGCTGGGGAACCGAACACGCACAGCTACAAAAACAACAACAGCATCAGCGGCTACCTGCATGGCTCCTCGAATGCTAGTGCTAGCTCCTACTCCTCCTACTCCGCATCAATGACGTCCTCATCGCTGGCCTCGGCCAGCTCGGCCCAGTCCAACACCTCATCCATTGCGAGGGCAACATTTGAAAGTCGGGCACGCGCCAAGACAGACTCACTGAAGTATGCCCGATACCGTAACCTTTACGCTAAAAGTAGAGTCAGTCGTTGCGCATGCGTTCTTTTTGGAAGGATCTTGCATGGCAGGGAATCCTCTGTTTGGAACTCCTCTTATTTTGTTCTTATCCAGGTTGCTCCTTTACTTTGGCATGCCTAACGCTTATTTACTGTCTTTCAATTGCGATTTTGTTGTTTAATAACGGTTTGAAATTCCCCCATGCAGGATAAGGCAGCACTCCTCGGGCTTTGGAAACTCTCATAATTCGGAGTCGGCGGAATTCCAGTCCATTATCGAGCGAATGGCCAGCTTGGGACCCAATGCCCAGCTGACGAAAGGAGCGGATGAAAATCTTCTACTGTGAGTGACTAATTTACAAAGGAATTTAAGGATTTTATGTTCTTATTTAATATCGAACTTGTACCTCCACAGAGCGGACTATGTGACCTGGAATGGTCCCAACACCACTCTATTGCAGAAGCACTCCACTCAAGGATCGGATGCCGGCCTCTTGGCAGATCGCGGCTACAAGCCAACGGGCAGGAACTCGGAACTGTGCAAAGGAGCCCAGGCTGGACTGGCCAAGGGCAGCATCTATGCCCGGGGCAGCAACAAGAGCCCCAACATCAAATGCAACTAGGCGGGATAACCCACATCCGAGTCCCCGCTATAGTGCCAAAGAGGGAGGACAAGCATCTTAGTGGCGACTAGCCAAGCACAAGCCTCCATAAATCCAGACTTACCACTAATATATGTGTCATTAGGTGTATTTTGCTCTACACATTGTCCCCTGAATCCTGCCCGCACACACGTCACGTGTAGATCCCAGAAAAACCAAAAACACACATTCCATCCAAGCTCCAATTATTTTTTAGTAACTCGTAAATAAACACAGACTTTAAAACTAGCAAACTTACTTAATATAATGCGTGTCTGGAGAGAGGGATTATGTTACAGAAAAGCACGAAAAAGGGTGGATCTAAACCTCGTCCTCGTTGAGGAGCATGTTGGGAATGCCGTCGGTGATGGGGAATACCCTACCGGTTTCGGGACACTCCAGTTGGCCCTCGAGCACGTCGATCTCGAAGAGTAGGTGATGGAGCTTCTGAAGAAGGGCCTCGTTTTCTCCAATGTTTTCCGGCTGAACGGCTGGTATGTCTTCTGTTAACTCCGCCTGGAAGGACATTTTTTGACGCATATCACTAGGGTTCTTTAGAGGATAGAATCTTAAATTACTACGAATTAATTACTAAATACTAATAATAAAAAAAACGGAAGTATATTCCAAAAATAACTCATGGATAACTCACCACCTGGGCGGCACCGTAGATCGCCGACCAGTCCAACTTGGGTAGCAGTCGCTCCACAAAGGTGGGATTAAACTCCGTCTCCACCACTTCTTTTTTGTTTATCTAAAAGGAAAAATAACATAAATTCCGTGAAACAGTCAATGGAAATATCAATACAGGGAAATCCTGATACGCACCGTCAGCTTGAGGGGGAATCCAACCTTTACGCCCTTGATGGCCATGGAAGTGAGGAAGTTGTACGTGCTGAGCTTCATTCTGGCTACTTAAATCCTTCTATCCACCCGTAATTAAAGTAGGTTTAAGTTTTCAAACAAATGTTTTTGCGGCGCACGTTGTGTTTTTCTGCTTCTTCCCACTAGTGCTGGCAAAACAACAAAGCACTATCGATATTATCGAAAAATCGATAGTGGAAAACAGTTGTGGCAAATAAAATAACTCAATTTACAACACTGTTTACCATATGTGCGCTATCGATAGTTGCGAAAGCCCATATCGATAATAGTTGGCAACATTCGTTTTAGTTGGCAACGCGGTTATTCTTGGTTTTGGTTTTTCACCCAACTGTCGCAATTTAACGTTTTTTAGCCGTTTCTAGATGTTAGTTGGGCTAGAAAACCATAGAAAACATTGTCTGAGAAAGGAATAAAGGCGTGAAGGCTAGAAATGGAGGACATATTCCACTGGTGCCGCGAGGGCAACTCAATCCAAGTGCGCCTCTGGCTAGACGAGACGGAGCACGACAATAATCTGGGGTAAATCTCAAAGAAAAGTAACACTTTCGTCGTGCACTTTCTTAGTACTTTAAGCTATCGCTGGAGGAAATTCCACTGCTTTCTGAAGCACACTGCCTTCCCGGAACCCTCTTTAGTCACCTTCTCCGATACGCCCAATGTTTCGAGGCTCTTTCGAGGCAGTGACGTCATGATTTATTCTTGTGTTGTGTAAACAGACGAATCGAAAATATATGCATGTATGTCTGCGTTGTGTGTGCATATCGCGAGCATAAAACCTGCTTTCCACACAGTGATTACCTATTCATTTCCATAACCTGGCATAATATATTTCTGTCTCGTACAGGAATAAAAATTGATCTTTCAAAGGGTTTTTATTCTCAATTAGGATCGTTTCTTTTCTACATATAGTACCTATTTGACCTTACAAACTACAATTAAGATATTTTATCTCATTTTAGCGATGACCATGGCTTCAGTCCGTTGCATTGGGTGGCCAAGGAGGGCCACTCCAAGCTGGTGGAGACCTTGCTGCAGCGTGGAGCTCGTGTAAATGCCACCAACATGGGCGATGACATACCACTCCATTTGGCGGCAGCCCACGGCCACCGTGACGTGGTCCAGATGGTGAGAGCTACAAAATACTTACCCACTCAATCCTTTAAACACTCTCAAACTGTTGTAGCTACTGAAAGAACGTTGCGATGTGAATGCGGTGAACGAGCACGGCAACACGCCGCTTCACTATGCCTGCTTCTGGGGCTACGACATGATCTGCGAGGATCTGCTGAACGCGGGCGCCCAGGTGGGAATTACCAACAAGGACGGGCATACCCCCATCGATAAGGCCAAGCCAAGTTTGGCCAAGAGGCTGCAGGATCTGGTGGAGAAGAGCGGACGCGAAGTGAAGGTGATCAGCTTCAAGGAGCAGAGCTGGCAGGGCATGAAGACCAGGTCCAGGGACGCCACATTGTCGCGCTTCAAGGGCATCAGCATGGGCGATTTGGATCTGCACACCAAGCTCTCGGTGACGCCGTCGGGCGAAACCTGGCGAGGACGCTGGCAGAAGAACGATGTGGTGGCCAAGATCCTGGCCGTGCGCCAGTGCACGCCGCGCATATCGCGTGACTTCAACGAGGAGTTCCCCAAGCTGCGCATCTTCTCGCATCCCAACATTTTGCCCATCATTGGCGCCTGTAACTCACCACCCCATCTGGTGACCATTAGTCAGGTGAGTGTGTAACTCCAGCTATGCTTTGCGATATATTTATGCTTTCTGTTTAATTCCCAGTTCATGCCGCGCTCGTCGCTGTTCAGCCTGCTGCACAGCAACACCGGCGTAATGCTGGACACCAGCCAGGCGGTTAGCTTCGCCCTGGACATTGCCCGGGGAATGGCCTTCCTGCATTCGCTGGAGAGGATCATACCCACATATCACCTGAACAGCCATCACGTGATGATCGACGAGGACCTGACGGCGAGAATCAACATGGGCGATGCCAAGTTCTCGTTCCAGGAGAAGGGACGCATCTACCAGCCGGCCTGGATGTCGCCGGAGGCTCTGCAACGCAAGCAGGCGGATCGCAACTGGGAGGCCTGCGACATGTGGAGCTTCGCCATCCTCATTTGGGAGCTGACCACACGTGAAGTGCCCTTCGCCGAGTGGTCGCCGATGGAGTGCGGCATGAAGATCGCGCTGGAGGGGCTGCGCGTCAAGATACCGCCGGGCACTTCGTCGCACATGTCCAAGCTGATTGGCATCTGCATGAACGAGGATCCCGGCAAACGGCCCAAGTTTGACATGGTCGTGCCCATTCTGGAGAAAATGAAGCGCTGAAGCCGGCGTTGAGTTGGAGCAGCGGACGCCAAGCCAAAATGTGCCTTGAGGAACCACAGTTTTGCCAACTAATTGTAATTACCACTTTGTGTTAACTTTGTCTAACTGAGCCTAACCCAAAAAACCGAACCGAACCGTGCCGCAAGGCAGCCAAGTGCAGTCGGAGCAAGTGAGTGCTTGTTCCCTGTCTAGAATTTATGTTTCTTTGTCTCACCTGTTTTTTATACCTATGACTTACCGTCGATGTTTTGCGCGGGTGCTCGATTTGTCGTACATTTTAAGTTCGATAACCATTAGGATCGTATTTATACAGAAAATATATTTGTTACTAATTAAACTCGAGTCCATTTTATGCCCAGTGGGAGGCGGTACAAGTTGCGTGGGTACAAAACGACAGCTTTTCCCGCCGAAGCTTTTCCACTGCGAAGCAAAACAAAGCAAGAGCTTTTCGCAGTGGATGCAGATGGGGATGCAGCGGCGCAGCGGGTGGGGGTCGGGTAACGTGAGCAAGGCGTCCCTGACCTGGTTTCCATTTCATGCACGCGATTGTGTGCAGCTAGCGTGGGCAGCGCGAAAACTCGGCGGCAAGGCAGGAGAGCGCCGGCGTGGGAAATTCTCTCGGAGAGCAGCAGAGAATTTGTGTTTGTTTTTAAATTTTATACATCTTTTCAATCTTTTAAATTGAAAAATGTTCTTTTATTTTTTAGGTATCATTATTTTACTCATTTGTCGGTTAAAAATGTCAGTTTTCAAGTTAGATTTTTGATTTTTTGTTTACATTTTTGTGTGATTTTCATGTAGTTTCCTAAATCTTATTTTCATTACAAAGTTTTTCCTTGAATTTCTATTAATTCTATTCTATTTGTATGTTTGGGAAAACAAACTTACTTTTTCTTTAATCTTTAAGATATATTCGAATTTATTTTATTAGACTATTGATATATACTAACTAACCGTAAAAAGGACTTAAGCTTAATAATTCCCAATAGAATAATCTGAAGTGAGTACAGTGCTAGATAAATTTCTTGGCGTATTTATAATCCTACTTAAATTTTTTAATCCTCGAAAAGGTATTTAATTTGGGGTCCTGCCAATACTGCTCTCCTCTCTTGGTCGTTCCGGCTCTCACCGGCTTGCGGCTCTCTGTTTATGTTTTTGCGGCAACATTTTGTTCGGCAAGCCTGCACTGCAGCGAGCCATGTGATTGTTTTGCTGGCTCGCTTCGCTCTTCCCTCGGCACATCCTGTGGCAGGTCCTTTAGCTGGTGCTGCTGCCGCCGCAGCGGCAGCTTTAAAAACTTTTTGCTGCATTTTGTTGTCGTCGTCGTAGTCGCCGTCGTCCTGTCGCTGTCGCTATCGCAGTCGCTGTCGTAGTCGCCGTCGTAGTCGCAGCTCAGAGTCGTCGGTGCTTTTCGGGCCCAGAGGCTGGTCGCTCGGTCTCCGGAAAAAACGGCAAAACTGCAGTGGCCAAAAGCCGATTTACAGTATTCCACGCCAGTTATGACGGCAAGCAGCATTTCCGCCATAGCCAACGTTTAGTGTCTCCGCGGAGCCATCTCCGGCATTGTGGCAAAATTTAATTTTAAAACTGAAGAAAAGTGAGAGCTTCGCGGGGTTTGCCCCAAAGTGAAAGTGAAAAAATCCATGGCATCTTTTAGGCGCAGCGCATAAAAGAGACGCTCTCCGCTTCGAAGGAACTCACTCACTCACTCACTCACTCACACATTCCTTGGGATCGGCGGTGCAGCTGCTTAAATGTATTTTAGTGACAGCTCTCAACAACGGCCAGCCCCTTGGAGGGCCGGCAATCCATGGAGTATTCAAGCTCCACGGGTTTGAATCACATCATCGCCGAGGAGGAGGACCAACCGCCGCAGCAGCAGTCCAACAAAGCCAGGTTAGTGTTTATAAATACTGGCTGGGCTCACAATGTGTGCCCCATTTTTATGACCACACCTGAGAGGAGCCAAAGGGGGCTTTATGGCTATTTTCTCTTTCAATTAACCATACAATTGGCCGGGATAAAACGGGGAACGCGGAACGCGAACGTGGAACTTTGGTGGCACACACAGTTTGCCGCAGTTACTCCATCATTCATTTGGCTGACGAGTGAGCCACTAACCTACTTCCTTCACACACAAAAGCCGCAGTTGCAGCAGCATCTGCTGATGTTGCTGCTGCTGCTGCCGTGCTTATTGTTGCTGCTGCCGCAGATGTTGCTGCCGGCATGCCACGCCCACACAATGGGCCTGCCGAGATGACGTTGGCGTTGATGAGTGAAAATGTGAAAATTACTTGGCAGGCTGATGGAAATAAACGACGACAGTGCATTGCAAATGACGAGATGCACTCGCACTCCGCGGAGCCCACGCGAAGATGGGTAAAAGTGCCCCCAGTTCATCCTCAAAGCGATCGAGGGTCGGCTGCATAAATCAAAAGTTCCATTTTGCAGATTTCAGCACTGCAGGAGCGGAGGAGCAGAGGAGCAGAGGAGCAGAGGAGACGCTGAGGAGCCGAGGCGCTGAGCAACAGAGGAGCAGCACAAAGAGGCACATACATAGAAAGGACACGAGGAAGGAAAAAGGGCTCGGAAACGGGCGCAGGCACGGGCATGGGCTCCTTGCCAACCTAAAATGCCACATGGGCAAATATTTCACTTGTGCTTTCGAGCGGCGCATTGAAAAGCGAAAATATTGTGACAATACAAGCAGCAACACAGCAGCAGCACCAACAGCAACATCAGGGGCAGCAACAGCAACATCGGACTCAAGTGGAAGACACTTGGGTGAAGTGCATAACAACGTGGAAATATTGTAAAGGCAAACTACAACACAGACTAGTAGCTATGGGCATTTCCATCAAAAATGATAATCAACTCAGAGAACAGATTTTAAATACATCGAATATAGATTTAAGTCACAAAAATATACTTAACAAACTGAGATTACAAGGATTTTAATATTTAAAAGCTTTAAAGTAATATTTTTTAATCTTTGACGAGGAAATCCTATTGATAGTTTTTAATATATATTAAATTTTAAAGAAATACATTAAGCATTAAATACTTTATATTACTTAAAATATATAATGAATACATTTCCATCAAGAAGAAACAATACGAGCGGGACGTTTTTGTTCTTTGGAAATGTCCTTATAACTACAAAATGCAATGACAGTAACAGCATCAGCTTCCACAAAGTGGGAAAAGGACATGTGGAAATGCGAAAAGAAGCCGCAGGATGTGAGAAGATGCAAAGCATCTATTGATTTTTATCCCTTCGGGGCGGCTGGCTTTGGTTTGACTTTGTTTTGGGGCTACCCTAAGCCACAGGGCGTATGAGTAATGCCCCAGCCAGTTGAGCTGCGTATACTTGATTTATACGGCTCTCTTGAGGTGGCGTCGTAGCCCAGCTGGAAATGCAATAAATCTCGAGATTTGCATAGACTTTAAAAACCTGAAAAGCAAACAAACCAACAGCAAGACCTCTTAAATTTCAAGCACCGCACAACTATCGATCAAAGTGGGCTAAAGTCGGCCGCAATACTCCGAGCGTTTGCCACCCACAAGAACGCTGATGTTCAATAAATTCTGTGCCGGTCCGAACTAGGGAAAATGGCCAATTACGAGGCAAAACGAGTTAAGAATTGTGCCAGCAGAGAGATGGCCGATACAGGAGCTCCTCCGCATTTCCCCGACCCCGTCTTGTACATATATATCTCTTGGAATAAATGGCCATAGCCGCCTGCACTTAACATGAATGGCCATTTTTCCAATCAATTACGTACAATGGGGGGAGGGAATCGGAAAAAGGTTTGGGAAGGGAGGCAATGGCACCGGATAATAGAGGAACGAGCTGAAAACGTGCAAGGCAAATAAACAAAGGTGGACGACTGGGGAGGGAGGTGGTGTGAGTCAAACTTGAGCTAACGATAATTATTTGAATTTTTAAGCAACGCTGCGGTTTTTCTTTGCAACAATTACCTTTGGCATTGACATTGCGGAAACTCGAGGAGGGAAATTCCTATGGCCATCGTCATCGGGAAATTTTTTTACAGGAAAAAGAGGATTAAATACCAAAATAATTGAATTCCTTAATTCTTTAAATTATATTAATATTGATAACAAGTTTTCTTGTACATACGATTTATTTTGTATTAAGGACATTGTGACTTTTCTCTTTCCTGATAAAATAAAACACATTTTATTTTTCAGACTGCCTGTGATTGGGAGCTATTTCAAGATTGAATCGCCGACCGGATCGCAGCCGATCGCAGCTTTGGGCAGCCAGCGTTGCCTCAACACGCCCCCGACCACGCCTAGCAGTCCCCTGCGGGAAGCCCCCCAGAGTCCCTCGGACGGACACGTCTCGTCATTGAGCTCGCACTCCGGATCGGGATGCAGTGACATCCTGTTGGGTGAGTCCTTAGTCTGCGTCTGAGTCTGAGCCCGGGGCCTGGGGCCTCCCACCTCCCATCGTTCTATTTGATTGCATTTCCCCGACTGACGGTATTTATAGCTGCCCACGAAACAGATCATGACCCAGGCAGGAACCTAAAAAAGGAGAAAAATCAAAGGAAATAGGTGTCGACGAATGGCAGCAGCATTTTATTGAGGTTGCTGACATTCGCCTCTAGCTTTTTCCCTTGGCTTTTCTCTTCCTGCTCCCAATCTGCGCCACTTTTGGCTTACTTTACCCTGCATGCCACCACCAGCAGCAGTGAGTGGGAAAAAAAGCTGGCCAGAAATACCAGCCCGCCATGCCACAATCTGTGCCACATTGCTGTCATGCACTTGGGGAAAAAGTTTAAACTAACAAATTATATATATTACAAGTTTCTACAAAATTAAAATTTGAATATTTGTATTTTAAGCAATATTGTATATGACTTGTTAATAATATTTAAATTAAATATGTACAACAAATTCTACATTTTAATTGAATATAATTTACCAGATTGTTTGGTAATATTTATCTCATAGACGGTTAGAATCAAAAACGAACTAAAATTTAAGTGCCCTTGTGTAGCATTAGGTTCCCAAAAACCTTTAATTACTTTCTAATTCTACAACAATGTTTTTTTTTTTGCTGTGCAATATTTTCCATTTCCTTTTCATGACGTTAGCATGGGCATCTCTCTGGGCATTTTACACTCTGTATTTTCTGGCATTCTGACACTGGCATGGCGTCATGGGGATGGAAATGTAATAGTTTTGAGCTAGAGTTGCGAATTTCAGCTGTTTGCTGTTCCGCTTAAATTTGAGCATTGTTTGTTCTTCGTCCGTTCGCATTTTTTCCTATGACTGCTGACTGCTTCTGCCTTTGCTATTGCTTCCCCTTTCAAGTGATAATTTCTAACGCTCACCAAAGACGAAGTTTGTTTACCAGCCGAGTGCTATCAAAATCAGTCAGGCCTCAACAACAGTAGCAACAAATGGTGGCGAGCGAAAAATGCGCCAAGTAAACAAGAGTCAGCATTCAAGAGTGTTTGAGATCTAGAATGTGCACAGAAAACAAAAACTTGGAATTTTTAATGCTATAAATTGTATATTATTGATAAAAAGTATAACAAAATTAAATTTATAGATCGGTCAATAACATATATGTAGTAGTATTTTACACATATTAAAATTAAGAAAATAGAAAATCTAAATTCATGTTTATTTGGTTTCAGGGGGAAAATAGCAAACTCTCATTTAATAAGCTCAAAAGAGGACCCTTCAGCACAAAAACATGTACAGACCTCTTGCTTTGCACTATAATTCCCAACTAGGTTTTTGGCATATCCGCTACCGTTTTTTGATTTACTTGCTTAAAAAAAGGCCTTGAATAGGACAGAAGCTTAATGTTTTTGAGAATAGATTTAATATTATATTTAAATAAATATTTATTATAAACATTAGATTTAAGACTTTCTATTCTAACAATCTATGATATTATGACACGATTGCTACTAATTTTCCTGTGTAGAATCTAGAGGTTGTGTCGGCTTTGGCATAATAATAGACAAATAAATAAACTAAACGCATTTTGCGCCACTTTGCTGCTACCTTTGTTGTTGTTGCCGCTGCTACTGCCGCTCAGATGTTGCCCATGACGTTGCCCACGATAAGTCATTGAACTTAGAGCGGCAACGTAGAGCCAACAATATCAAAATAAATAGAAAACGCGAAAAAAAGCAAAGAAGCCAAGGCAACCGTTCCCCCCGCCTCCCATTCGCATCTGCCACCCCCTTTTGATGATAAGTGAAATGCAGTAATATTAAGAATAGTGACCACCGCTCCACCCCCCACACCGCGCCACTCCTCTTTATCACCCATCCACAAACAACTCTCACTCAAAGACACACGTACACTTATACACGTGCACAGCGATTACACAATCTTCGCGAGCGGCATTTTCATTTTTCTCTTCCTGGTTCGTCGTCATCGCGCATCGTTGTGTTGGAGAGCCTCTCCGGCCGAAGTTTCGTAGTGTGTGTGCGTTACCGAGTCCATGTCTGTGTGCAGATCAGGTTTTATCGCCCAACGCAATCGTACACGGAGAGAAATCTGGGGAAAAGACAATACTTTATCATATAATTAATCTTAATTTACTGAGACTAGATCATAGATCGTTTTCTTAAAAGTCAAAACAAAACCTTAAGATAACTATTTTTTCCATTTTGCTTGCCCTTCTGTTCAAATTTCTTTTGAATTAATTTATTAAATATTATATGTATATTATTCATAAAGTGAATAAAAGCGGTTTTAAAGTACTTATAAAAGTACCATAAAATAAACAACGAACGTTTTCAAGTAATACAAGGAATATGATTTTTATAGCATATTTTTGAGCGCTGTTTAAAGAGATTTTAAATCACTATTGCCTAACCACAAAATGTAAAATCCCTAAACGTATTTTTATATCTTATATGAAAATGTATTTTTCATTGTTGTCTGTTCTTGATTTTCAGTGTTCTGGCTTGGGTGGATCAGTGGGGGCGGCGGTGTTGTTGCTTCGATTGGTCGCTCGGCCGTACTTCGGCGCTGACTTTTCGCTTTCGTGGAGGATCGTGGATATATAGCTTCGGCTATCGGCAAGTTGCCGTTTTCTTGTTATTTACAGTTTCTGGTTGCTTTCGCTGGCCGTTGGAAAAATGGCAAACTCTAGCGTGCAGTCGCTGTCGGCGTTGGCGTTGCTTCTTGCTGTTGTTTTTGTCTCTGCTGCAGTTGCTGCTTCTGCCGCGGCTGATCATTGACTTTCGTTGATTCCCTTTTGCGCCAGGCATTCGTCATGGAAATTGTGCAATGCTCAAGGGAAAATGGGGAAAAGTATGTCCACTTTTAACCAAATTGAAGCGAATTTATACTTCATATTTGACTTGATATTGATAGGCATTTATCAAGTTTTCTTCTTAATGTTTTGCTATAAACTCACAACTTTTACTAATTTTCCAATGTGTAAGAACTGCCTTTCCCTATATACTTCTAATGATCTTCAAATAATTATTTTTACGACCGAATTCTCTGTGCCAAAAATGACGTTTTTTACTTTTTTGCTAGCCAAAAACACAGCTGCATCATGCAACATTTAAGACTTCCGCATTGCAGCATTTTCTCTCCCACTTGAAGAGAGGGCCCTAATGCCGTCTCCCTTTCTCCACCTCTCCACAACTCTCTATCCCTTTTCCGCTGAAGGTTCTTTGACCCCCCTTTAAGGCGCCCCCACTTCTGCTCTCTTTTTCTCTCACACACACACGCTCCCCAATGCTCCTCTATTGCCTTTTTCCTCCAAGATAGTGTAAACCAAGTAACGGTTCGCTCTCTCGCTCTGCGAATTTGCTCTGGTGTGTGTGAAATTGATCTTGAGGGGAGCATATGTGTGTGTGGATGCACTTGGAAGTCGACGGCGCTGCCAAAGATTCTGCCGTCGTCGACTGTGGCAGCGGCAATAGAAATTGAAAATAGCAACCAGGAAAAGAGTTTTGCAAATGGAAAAGTGCAGCAGCAGCAGCAACAACAACAGCGGCAGCGAGAGTGGCATTGCATGTTGCTCCTCGTTGTTGTTCCAAGCGGCAATTGTTGCTGCTTTAGCAGCTGTTAACAGCTGGTGCTGTTCCTGTTACAACTTTTCCAGCAATTAGATTGCAATTACTGCTGTTAATTAATTGTATTTAAATTAATGAATTTTTTCATTTTTATCATAATTCGTTTAATATAATCCTTGTAATTGCAACTATAGACGCTGTTCGAATTGGTCCTATATTTGTAAATCTTAAATTATAAAATATTTCTTTAATGTATTTAAGTTTAAGGTTGCTTTTTTGTTGTTTGTTACTGACTTTTACTATTATTTTGTTTTCCTTCAGTAATTGAGACAATTATCCTTTCTTTAGAGTTCCTGTTAAGGATCATTTATTGCAGAACAAATAACTGTTAGTTAGTAACAGTAACTGCTACTGCCGCTGTTCTAGCTGCTTTCTTTCTGCAAGCTTGCTGTGCTGTTAGTGTTCTTGTACTCTTGCTGTTCCTGCTGTTGCTGGTGAAGATTAGAAAGATAGAGGCTCCAAGCCAGCAGCACTTTAACTCTCCGCTCCTCCCGATTTCCCAACTTTTCCGCCGCTCTCCTCCAGAGATTTCGCCTCGTGCTGCGGCGGCGGCGCTTCGCAGTTTTCCCACTCCATTGGGCCACACAGCACAGCCGCATTCTATTTGCCTGCTCTTTCCACACTCGCACACTCGCTGGCACACTCACTGGCACACTCACTCCACTCACCAATACACACACTCCGTCTTGGCGAGGCCCAGGCGATTCTTGTTCTTCTGCGTCGCTGCCGCAGAAATCTTGTGTCTTGGACTTTTGCGGGCTGTATGTTGTCGTAGGTTCTGCAGTTTGGCTTGGATTTTCTGCGGCGCATTTGGAGCGCTGCGAAGTTGGCGCTTGGATCTCGTCGAGGCGAGAGTTTCTTTCCGATTTCGATACGTTCGCGCGATCAGCAGCAGTCCTTCGATACAATATTTTCGATCAAAACAATGAATCGCGTGTGCCTGCTGCCCGAATATCGCAATTAGAATACGCTTGAACTTGGAACGCAGGACTTCGAAAACCACACGGAAGTGAATTGAAAATTTATGCCATAGAAGAATTACAATCATGACATAACAAACCATTACGAATGCAGAGTGCAAGTGACAAAAACAAAGCGAAAAGGGGCGGAAATAGAGAAAGAGAAATGGGAGTTTCTTCTCATATGAGTGATCACCTAATTAATGAATTTAAGAGTATTTTTCAGACAAGCTAGCGAGGGAATTATGCAAGAATCAAGGGAATCATTCAAGTGATAGGACTTACAGATAAGATAATTTTTAGATCTCAACTTAAGGGAAATAAGTTTATTTTTTTATATTTTTGTAGATATATTAATCAAATTCAACATACAAGAAACGTATTTTCATCCAATTCTGTAAAGTTTTATAGATATCATGCGAGCTAGTTTTTTTTTTTAGTTAAAAACTTTAAAAACCCTATACTAACCCACCCATCATTAATTAATACGAATTACTCAACAGACACAAAAGGGTTATATGTATAAAACTTTAAAAAATACTTTCTAAGGACCTCGCTTAGTAATTCTATTCCCCATTGAACCGCAGCTTTAATTTATAAACTGTTGCGAATCGAATCAAAAATCCTTTTAACGAATTCCCCATAAAGTGCCAAAGGACAAAGAATCGCAAGGATTTGCCACAAACATGCTGAGCGGGCGTCATTGCGGGTTGCCAACATCGATTTCCGCGACCAGGACGATGCTGAAGATGATGGATGGCCAGCTAACCGGACCGATCCAAGCACCATGGATGTATACCAAATAGAGCTGGAGGCACAGGCACAAATCCGCTCCAATCTTCTGGTCGACACCTGCGCGAAGCACTCGGCGGAGCAGCAGCAGCAGCAGCTCCAGATCAAGCAGGAGGACCTTCTCAAGGACTTGGCCCGCGACCAGGATCAGCCCAGCGAAGGCGAGGAAGAAGACGAGGAGGAGGAGGAAGAAGAGGAGTTCGACGACGAAGCAGAGGAAGAGGAAGCAGTAGACCCAGAAGGAGCCGAACTCGCGCCAGTCAATTTCAATGCAAATTCGGACTTTAATTTGCATTTCTTTGACACACCGGAGGACTCGTCTACCCAAGGGGCCTACAGCGAGGCCAACAGCTTGGAATCCGAACAGGAAGAACAGGAGGAACAGCAGCGGGAGCATAGAGAGCTCCAGGACTGTCTAAGTGCCATCGAGGCGGATCCCCTGCAGTTGCTGCAGTGCGACGACTTCTACAGGACAGCGGCTCCGGTGGAGCAGCAGCAGCAACACGCCAACAAGCAACATCAGCAAAAGGAACACCCACACTCGGCACAACGTCAGCACCCGCATCCTGGACCCCAGCAGCCACATACACAGCTCCTGAGCACGCTGAGCAATGGTGGAGGTGCTCTGTACACCATCAGCAGTGTGCATCAGTTCGGTCCGGCCAGCAACAACAGCAGCTCCCCATCCTCCAGCGGCGCCCACGCCTCGCCGGACAGCGGCTGCTCCTCGGGATCGGGATCCTCGGGATCCTCCTCCTCCTCGGGCGCGGTCTCCTCCTCGTCGTCGTCCAGCTGCTCGGAGCACTTCGGACGGTCCGCCACAGGCGCAGTTGTCAGTGTCGGCAGTGGCCACGCTCATACATCCTCGTCAGCGATCAGCTCCACCAACGGCAACGTCGCCAGCCACGCAGCAACATCTTCATCTTCTGCGCATCTGAACAAAGGTACACAGAGAGAAAATCAAGGCTTTAGTACAGGGAAGCCTGAATGTCAAATTTTTAACATGGGTTTAATGGGGTTCTTAAATTATTATATTACCATTAAATTGAGAAGGATTTCAATTTAAATTGAAAGAATCTACCTCTGAAACTGGCATATTTAAACCTTTTAACTCATAATTTTTGCCAGTGCATGTACAACCAGCATCGGCAACACCGCCGCCCGATTGTGACTCTTCCGCGTTGCAGTTTCTGCGGAGCATTGTTGTCGCAGTTGAAAATTATGTTCAATAAATTTGCATTCATTGCATAACAGCCACAACTGAGAGTCGTTCGGGGCTTCGGTTTCGCCTCCTTTTGAGGAAACTATTAAAGCGCAGCATGAAAAATGTGAAAATGAAAATATAATGCCCTGTTATTGGTCGGTTGCCGTTTCTCTGCTGGCTTTCCACTACGAGGAAATTGCTTTTCATGTTGCTGCAGGTCTGTCAATGCAGTGACCATGCGCGATTGGTGCAATTGAAAGCCAAGGGAAAAATGTTTTCATTTTCATAAATCGCCTTGAATGGCTCTAGGCTTTCGACTCTCGAATTGCCTTGGATATATGGCATTAGGAAGGGCCAAGATGGCCAGCAGTTGTTGGCTGCTGTAATGGAAGCGGAGTACTCAGCCGGGAAATGCAACACAAATTTCATTTGAAAACTATTACAGTCAACTGTTCTGTGAGCGGGGAAATCTTGAAGGAAGTTGGCTAAATTGAGGATATTCCGAATTAAAAAACAAAATAAAGAAAACACGAAGGATTTTTTAAATATTTAAGAAGACGAGGTTAGTCTACATTTTTACATTGCTCGACTTTAAAGTACAACAAAAAAGTTATAATAATTCATTATAATGAAAAATAACTTCTATATAAGACAAGACTGAAGTCCACCTTGGCCACATAATATGACTAATTATTTATACATATGTACAAGTACTTTTTTTTACGGTGCACCATCCTTTCGTCATAAAACCCATAAGCACTTGAACAAATTTGTCTTGGCAGGAGTTGCTAATTGCCTGGACTTGCAGGCAAGGATTCCGCTCTGTGGCCATTGCCACATTTAATTGCAGCAATTAGTGCGGGCAGTTGCAGGCAAAGTCTAATTGCAAGTAAATTAAATCTGTGGGTTTTCGGGGTGGCGGTGGGTTGAGGAGGAAAAATCCGACTTTGAATTCATCAAAAAACCCGAGGAAAACTCGACTGCTTTTCCACACTCCGATTGATATCCGCTGGCTGGCAGTCGTCCATGGCAGGCCCCTCCACTCAATCAGTTGTCTTCGCCCAGATAAATGCAAGAAATGGAAATGGAAATGGCGATGGGAGGGGAAAAATCCGAGGAAAATATGAAGTCTTTGTCGTCTATCGTCTGACAACGCGGAAATGCCAAGCCGTTTTCCCGCTCGCTCCTTCCCTCGGCTGGGTAAACAATGGCGTTTCAAATTGTCAACTTACAAAAGCCACCAAATGATTTGCATTTGAACGCGGCGCGAAAATGAAAAGCAGGCACTTGAGTCTCCTTTTGGCTTTTCCTCTCTTTCCCATAATACCCATTTCCATTTCCATTCCCATTCCATTGCCGCCCGGGCCGCGGCCGACGACATTTTCCAGACAACGATGGTGAAAATTCAATTTGCAATTGCACAAGCGCGTAACGCTTCCCCTTTTCCCCGCTTTTCATTTTCTGTTTTTTCTCGTTGTGTATTCGGTGTGTTGTTGTTGTTGTTGTTGTATATTTTGTACTTATTTTGCCTGTTTGTCGGCGCGTGCAAGTTGCACATTAATTTCATTTTGTTTCGCAGTTTTGAGGTGTGGCAACGCCAATTGCCACAGCGGCAACTAGCAACAGCAAATGCACTGGAAAAAATGAGATCTGCATAATTTTTAAATGTGCATTTTAAAAGGATTAAATAATAATTGTAATAATTTAAAAAGTTGAAATGAGGGCATAACATAAAAGTATACATAATTTCGATATTTTCTATCTATGGATATTTTCTATATATTAAGGTATTCCCCCTAAATTAATTTTCTACTAACTTCATTGCTTGTTGTATTTTGTGGCTAATTAAATATCAATTTCGATAGGTGAATAATTGTATTTTACTAGAGAATTTTCTTACTGATTTAATTCCTCATTATTTTCCTACTAATTCCCTAACTAAATTTCCCTTTTTTTTCTTAAGTGTACAGTTCAAACTCCGCGCTTAGTTCATTTGCCTCTCTTCCTCTTGCATTAGAAAAGCGAAAAATAAAAGCGAGAAATGCAGTCAAATTGAATTCGAAATGAAATGCCAAGAAGCAGGCATTGCTGTCTGGCTCCAGTTTTTCTTTTTCTTTTATTTCGTAGTTGTTGTTGTTGGAAGTGTTGTTCCTTTTCTTTGGTGCTATTTGCAATGCAAATTTTCTTTCGACTCTAGCAGTGAAAATTGTGCGACTGCAGTTTTTCCTACTCGTGACTGCTGCTTGTAGGCGGTGGCGTATACGTGATTTTTTGGCATTTCTTCTTATCGCACATCGCCTGGGAGTTGAATGCACCCGGTAGGCTGTTGCATTTCAGCCTGATTGTTAAATAAACGCTGGCTTAAGGATGATTGAGATTAAGTTGGATTAAGTTAGATTTAGCTAAATTTGGGTAATTTGGCAGCGGGAAATTCAACTGTCAACTTCATTTATTTAGCCATATCTTGCGACAGTTGTCGATTGATTGTTGTGTTGCCCCATGTGTTGCAACTTCTCTGAGTGTGTGTGTGTGTGTGTGTGAGTGACAGCTGGGCGATTTCGAGTGGGTGATACCGGGGTGACAGCAAACTCATTTGGCAAATGGCAAGCGAAACTCCGTGTGGCGCACGGGGCGTATGAGCAACGGGGCAATTGCATAAGCGACAGACTCGGCGGACAACTTTCCAAACATGAGGAGGAGGAGATAAAGGAAGCTTGTGTAAATGAAACAAATGCATTTTTCCCTTGCAGAGCAACAGCAGCAGCCACCGACGACACAGCTGCAACAGCAGCAACAGCAACAGCAACAGCAGCAGCAGCAACAGTTGCAACACTCGCAGCAACCATCGTTTGGTTTAGCGGACAGCAGCAACAACAGCAGCTGCAACAGCAACGGCAGTAGCAGCAACACCAACAGCAACAACACCAGCAGCAACAACAACGGAGTCTCCTCGAAATCATTTGTGCCCTGCAAGGTCTGCGGCGACAAGGCATCGGGCTACCATTATGGTGTAACCTCCTGCGAGGGTTGCAAGGTGAGTAAAGCATTCTAGCTATCCTTATTCTCCTTATTACATCCAAAATTTTAATTTTCAGGGTTTCTTTCGTCGCAGCATCCAGAAGCAGATCGAGTACCGCTGCCTGCGGGACGGCAAGTGTTTGGTCATCCGGCTGAATCGCAACCGCTGCCAGTATTGCCGTTTCAAGAAATGCCTTTCAGCTGGCATGAGCCGCGATTGTGAGTACCTACCTTTTACACAGCCCAGCTAAGCTTAGAAATATTATTATTAAGCCAATTCACCATTCCCAAATGCCAGACATTTGGGGCCAAAGTGAAGGGGAGGCTGCACCTTTCTGCCTGGCCTCTTGATAACTTTATTAGCCGCGAAACCGCTGGCAGATTTCTGCCAAAAGATCGCAGATTGTGTCAGTTGGTTGTCTTGGGAAATTGGCAGCTCCGAGATAAAGCTGCGGAGGAGCAGTTTATTCTACACACAAATACAAAAAAAAAACATTTAAAAGAATGAGTCAATTTGGCATGAAGTAATCCGCACAAATAAAATAAATTTCTTTACATTTCCAGTATTTTAAACTTTATTAATATATATTTATCGTTGCTAAACTTAACTTTATATTCTCTGTGCACCCTTAAATACCAATTTTTAATGTATTTCCCGCTTAGGCTTGATTTCTGTACTCTCGGTAATTGAATCAGCGAACATCGGTTAACCAGTTAGCTAATGCCTCCTAAATCGCTGTAAAAACCTTTGGTTAAGATAATTTGGCCATTTAAAAACTCAATTCCCGGGCAGAGGCCGTTCATCCAGCCTTAAAACGGGTTCCACGATCCGCCCAGCCTTTTAGTTAAACACCCATAAACAACTCCGGACGGCAGTCTGCAAACTGCAAACTCCAAACTGCAACTCCAGACTATTTGAGGCGGGCGGAAACCAGGGCTTAACTGCAGTTCAAGTCGAGCTGGCCGCAAATTTAGCCCGCTGCCTTTTGCCAAATACTTCCTGTAAGCCAAAGTCCATGGAATCCACCCACGGACCGAGAGCGAAATTAGTTTTTATGACTCTTGTCAGCGGCAACTGAAGCAACAGCCACATTAGCAACAGCGACAGCAGCATCAGGAACTCCTTCGGCCACATCGTGGAATCCCTTGGCTTTCGAGTGCAATTTATTTGAGGTTGCACAATTAATTGCTTTAAAAGATCGGAAACAAGAGAGCGGGACATAAAAATCGGCAAAGCAATGTTTGCTGTCACTGCTGCTGTCATTGTTGCTGTTGCACGCGAGCAACATTTATTAGTCGCCTCGTCTATTGGCTGCAACATTTGTTGCAGTTTTTTATGGCTCTGGTCTCGCCAAGCCACAAATGCGGCCAGCCCATGGTGTTGAGCAAACATTTCCTTAATTTTAACCCAACGCCCACGCAGCCAGAGCCACAAGGAAATCCATGAGACCCACACGACAATGGGAGCTGTTTTCATGATTTTCCACAGCAGAGATTTTTCATCTACTGAGGAAACTTGGACTTGATTTATCCTTAAACTTAAAAGGTTTTTATAATGATAAATTCGTTAATAAAGTAAAAACCAGGCTTTGGGAACTCTCTTATTTACAATTTATTTGCTTTTATTTTAAATATTTAAATAATCCGATTATAAAAGTATTTCTCTGCGTGTGAACATGAAAGTTAACTCATTTATTAGCCATCAAAATCGAAGTCATATTTTCTTAGCCTAGATTTATGATGTGCTTCGTCTCAGAGCAAACTATACTGCTTTTCAGGGCCAAAAACTTTTCCATTTTCCATATTTGTGCCCCTCCGGGCACTTTATTACTTCTTTATCCCGGCAGGCAGATAGTTTGCGACTTTTCCTGTGCCTCCATGCATATGGAAAGTTCAATAATTTACTTAAATTGCTTTTGTGGCAAGTTTGCTAGTGCTGCTGCAGCTCCTGCGATGTGGCTGTCGGTGGGCGGTTGCCAGTTGCAAACTGCAGCTTTTGGAGGCGCCTTTTGAATTTTGCTTGCTCGGTTTAATAAGACTTTGGCACAGAGTTTGTCGAATCGGATGGGGTTATTATGGGCAATGGCTTATGGCAACAGCAACTGCCAATTGCAGATTGCCGATTGCTGTTGCAGTTGCAGAGGCTGTTCCTACTGCTGCCGTGAGAGATTTTCCAATTAAGTTTGGCTTGGAGAGCTGCTAAAAACGCTGAACCTTCATTTTAGCCACTGCAAATGTTGGAGTTTTAGGACTTTAATGGGTCAGGCCATGATTACCCCTCTGCTGCGCAGAAAACAAATGCAATTATGCCGGGCCCGTGTGTATATGAGTGGGCGTGGCATGACTTTTATTTAATTTGCAAAGCTTTTGTTGGCAGCGGCAACAAAGTACGGGTAAAACGAGCAAAAAATAAAAATAAAGGGAAAAATAGCGCGGCTCTTGCCAAGCAAAAATCGCATTTCGGATGTTGCAGCAGCAGCAGCAGAGGCGGCAGTAGCAGCAGCAACGTCAACAGCAACACTTTGCATGGCTCTGTTGGAATTTGGGTCAAACATAAAGCACAGAGCACAAACACACTGAACACGCAGCAGCACAAAGTTTTCATGCCGGCATGCGGCATTTTGTGGCAATATCAACAGCAACAGCCACAGCAGCAGCAGCGGCATCAACATCTGCCTCCCTTTCGCCAAAAGCCAATTATTCTCTCACACAATTTAATAAAGTTTTACTCTCATTTACATTTCGTAATTTTAGTTATTTTCTTATTTATTTTAGAGGGCGCGAATGTAGACTAAAGCTTTAACTGATTTAAGTAACTGCTATAAACTCGTGAATTGATTTATTTTACCTAATTTCTATGATAGACTAAAGACTGCCTGACTATCTTAAACATCATTTTCGATTTCCCAGGGTCACTGCTTTAAGAAAATGATAGAACTTTGCTCCAGAATTCCCTTTCTTCCCTGCCTAATGAAGTTTATGTGAGAGAAGACTCGTCTGGAAGCTGGCTAATTGAAAAGTTAGCGTACTTTCTTTGGCTTATTTTCTATGTTTCGCGTAATACCGCCGTCAATCAAATTGGCCGCAAATCAAAATGCAATTAAAGCCATAGTAGAACTTTTTGGACAAACTTCTGGCTGCTGGCTGTCTGCTGTCTGGTGTGTCTGCTTGGGAATGGGCACAGAGCTGTCGCTGCCAGAGGCGACATCAGCAACAGCTACGACTACAGTTGGAGCAACATCAACCGCCAAGGCGACACAGTAACACAGAATCAAACTGCTCTCGACTCAATTGTAGTCAATTTGAAAGCAAACTATCAAAGTATCAAATGTCAGCTGCGAAAACCACGACTCTTGACTCTTCTAGACGCCCAAAATCGAGTGCAAAAAGCCCGAAAAGAACTCCATGTTGCTGCTGCGCCTGCGCAGTGACAGCAGCAGCAGCACCGGGCCTTATAATTGCGGCGTAAACTGGGTCAGTTACCGGGCCAGACCAGGCCAGAGACCGGGCCAAATCCAAATCCAAGAGCCCGAGTATTGTTGTCGCCGGTTCTTTGGCTTTTGGCCATTGTTGCTGCTCGCCAGCTCGCTCTGTTTTTGCGCTTCTGACAATCGTCTTTTGTTCGTCTCTCTTGGCTTACATTAAAGTTTAGCCACAGTCACAGTCACAGTCATCGCGGCTGCTGCTATTGTTTTCCGTCAACTTTTTATTATTTGGCAATAGGCAAAACGACGGCGGAGAATGTAAAGAGAATATTCTGAAAGAACTGCACGAACTTTGATTGCTGGCTGTCAAAAATTGCATGAACGCTTCGTGGGTTAAAAATACATTTTATTTGTTGTCTCGAACGATTTTATTTTTTATTACAATAAAGGTTATCTCAGGTTCAGTCTAGAAATTTTCCATGAATTTGCCTTTATAATGGTAATAATAATTCGAATATATTGTTAGTAATAAAAACCCACATGATGTGGGAAATTCTAAGAAGTCTAGTAAATTCATGGAACATTTAATTTATTTAAGTATTAAATAGTTGTTCTTATTTCTTCATTGAAGAACTACCACATTATCTTGAAGAGACAAGGAATTATAGTAAATTCGTAAAGGTTCAATATATGTTAGGATTTTAATTCAAATAAACCCACATTATCTTGAAATGTTAAAGAATTCTACTAAATTCATGGAGTTTGAAGAGCTTTAATCACTTCCAGTAACGTCATAAAATCAAATCTGAAAAAAGCTTAAAATTATATAATAAAATTCTTTGTAATCTGCAAAATTTATATTTAAAAAATTCAAATTAATTGTTTGTTTTATTATTTGTTTAAACTTAGAAATCTTTCACCAGTAACACTTCTGACTCATGTATTTAGTATGAATCTATGTTTCAGTTATTATTAAAATTAAAATAAAATTATTCAGATCTCCCTGATATTCCTGGTACTTTCCGCAATTATCACTTTTGCCCCTTATCAATGTGGAAATTATTTGTTCTGAGGAGTATCTTCACCTCAAAGCTGGCAGTTCGCGATTATCGCACTCGATGGCATTCAACCTTTTGTTGATTTCCTCGGAAAGTTCACCAAACCTCCGGATGCCGAATTTCGATTCCGATTCCGTTTTCGAATTTTGAACTCCCCGAGCGCAGAGCTGTGCTGTGCGCTTCCTTTTGGCAATTCCCCCTTGGCGCCTTTCACTTTCAGTTGTCGTTCGTTGGCGCATTGCTGCGGCTTCCGCTCGCCACAACCCCATTCGACCCCTTCTCACCCTTCTTCCCCCTTTATAGCCCACCGACAAAAAACCAAAGTCCAATGCTCGCAGTGTTTATGACTTTTCGCGAAACAAATCAGCCGCAACAGCAAACACAAAATGCAATAAACGAAAGAACAACAAAAACACGAAGCCCGCGCGAAAAGTAAATAAAAGATTGCCAAAAAATATCATTTAATTTGTGTTTTTAATTACGTATTTAAAGTGTTGTTATTGCTGCGCGACTCTCGTTTATAAACATTTAGCCCGGCAATATGCATAAACTGAAAAGTTGAGTAAACACTGAGAGAATGAGAAACCGAAAAAGGCAGGCGATCATTAAGCGATTTATCGTTATTCAACAAAAGCGAAATGCCCCCGCACCTGTTGCAGGTGAATGAATGGGGAATCTACATACCTTATACATATTCTCAGTGAGTCAATCTCGATGCATTTATTACGAGCATTAT